GCCGCCATTAAAAACAGGCTTAGCGGCAATTAAACAAGTTTAAAATTGCTGATAATTCTAAAAATATTGCACACACATTTACTAAAGGCATAAAATCCTTAACCGGAAGATAAAAACAACATAATTCAATCATTTTTAAAGAAAAAAATGTACATTTTACAAACATATAAGAGTAAAGAAACTGAGATTACTGAGCCGGGTAACAGAGTGGATATATATATAAATATATTTATATACGTTTGGTGCGGCCGATTGCAACCAAAATACGAGGTGCACATCTACATGTTATAGCAGTCCTATATACAAAATTTCAACCTTCTGAGGCTACTCGTTTTTGAGTTATGCGAGATACGTACGTACGCACGTACGTATATACGTTCGTACAGACGCCACGAAAAATTCCCTTCAGAATTAATTTTAAAGCAGTTTTATAATTTTTTTGAAGGAAAAGAGTATTTTATTCTGTCCTTACGTACAGATATCACGCAAAAACATCGTTAAATTGCATTCGATAGCGGTCAAAATGGATATTTTCGTTGAAATTGCTGCCTGAAACTTTTCGCGATTACAATACTTCCTTTTTACTTCGTACAAGGAAGAAAAAATGTGTGAAATAACAAGTTTGATAAAGCTAAGTGCCATCCGAGAGGTAAAATGCTAGTCTCCCATCTCAGAAATGGCGAGTTCGAATCTCGGCTGTGGAGTTCTTTTTAAAACTCGTGCTATTACATAAAATGTATTATAAAAATAAGTAATGAAAAAATTTAAAACTAATTAAAAATAATGACGTACTAAATAATTAAAAATAATACTTAATAATTAAAATTAATGACGTACTAAATAATTAATATTAATTACGTGTTAGATAATTAAAAAACGTAAATAATTAAAAATAATAAAATAAAAAAACTGATGTCATGCCAAACACGTAGTTAAAGTGTTCGTTGCCACAAAGATAAAAAATGTTCGTTGCCATAAAAAAGAAAAACTCTGAAAAATAGGGTCGTTGCCACAGAATAAAATCGAAACATTGATGATGTTATTCCGTCAACTTCATCCCATCCTTCTACGTCACTTCCGGTTGCACGTGATCCAAGATGGCGAAGACCACGCCCCTTTTCTGTACATCACTTCAGTCACCCGAGTACTCGCGCTTACTACTTAAGTGTTCATCTTATTAGTCTTGGCGACAGATTCTTTCCCGAATATAATCCATCGACCGCCATATGATCGGAATAGACTGTTACTGGAGAACTTCCAAAATAGACTCAGATCTTCTGAACCGCTAACAGTACCACAAGTGTTTCTCTTTCTGTGACCGAATAATTTTTTTTCAGTATCATTTAAAATACGACTAAAGAATGCCACGGGCTGCCCATTTTGGGAAAGCAGCGTGATCCTACGAATCTTGCCGCAGTCTCTAAATTTTCATCATTTTGGGGAAATTTTAACACAGGGGCTTGTGTTAATTTTTCAAAAGTGGGCTTAGCCTCGGCTGTCCAAGAAAATCTTCGTTTTAACTTTAATAGCTGTTCGGTAATTATTGCGAAATAATAAAAAAGTAGTTAGTAAGTGCGAAAAAATTCCTAGATAAGAAGGTAATTTTTTGCAGTATTTGACGGCGGATAATTTTGAATTGCACTTATTTTTGATTTGTCTGTTTCAGTTCCTTTCTGAGAAATTTTATACCCAAATAATGTAATTTTTTATTGCAAATTTTCACTTATCAACATTAACTTTTAGACCGGCCTCATTTAACAATGAAAGCAACTCTCTTAAGTCTTTAATGTGTTGTTCTAAATTTTCACTGGTAACAATGATATCATCAAAATAAATAAGAGTGCTCTTCTCTAGGACGCGTCCTAAAACAATGTCCATACAACGTTGAAATGTTGCTGGCACGCTTGACAGGCTAAACGACATATGCAAAAATGCATAAGTGCCAGACTTAGTTATAAACGCCGTTTTATGTCCATCTTCAAGCTTTACTCCTACTTGAAAATAACCGGACGTTAAATCTAATGTAGTCATGTATCTAGTGGAAGTTATGTATCTCAAGATTGCCTCAATAATCGGTAATGGGTACACCGGGTATTTTGTAACACCATTTAATTTGCGATAAACTATTGCAAAACGCCACTTTTTCGGGTGTGTAACCGAGTATTCCTTATTTTTCTTACACAAAACAACCGGACTGGCATAACTACTGGAAATTGCCGTAATGATCTTTTACTCTTTTATCATATCTTTGATATGCCACTCAATAATTGGTTCTTTAGATTTTTCAAAGTGCTACGGCTTGTGCCTAACCGGTTGTGAGTCTCCAGAATCTATTGAGTCGGGCATAACTTGTGTAAAAAATCCGGTGTGCCGCTAAACGAAGTAAAGAACTCACTTACCATTTGCAGCAACTTTTCTTGTTCTTCACATGGCAGGTGCTGAAGATTTAATGAGTGGGGCTCTGCTTTCACATCTGGGACTGGCTTCATGGATAATTTGAATGATGCCTGCTAGAAATCTAACTGGATTTAAGCTAGTGAGAGAAAATCGACTCCCAAAATTATACAAGCCTGTAGATTTTGCAAGAAAAATTACTTTTACCTGCTCGTCCTTAATCCTGATATATAAGGGCACTTTGATGTTTTTAAGATATTTGTAGAACGTTGTTTTTTGCCGGCTTCCCTATAACTAAAGGAGTCATATTTCCATACCAGCAGCATTTACGCAAAGAAAAACATTCAGACGTCCTTTACTATGATTAGCTCCATAGCTCTGGTTAGTTTTGAAAGATATGGTTCCTGTAGGCATACAAGATTAAAGATAACAGCAGTTTCACCAATATTAAAAACGTTTTAAAATTTCATATCTATCTATTTTGGTGCATACATTCTTGAGCCATTCTTCAACCGAATCAACAGGAACTCATTTTTGACTCTCCATTTATTATGTGACATGAGATTCCATGCCGAAGTTTAAATTTATATAGCGATCCAGTTGAAAAGTAAGCTTCCTTCATATTCAACATTACTTACATTGTTTCCAAGAAATGTCTTTTAACTTTTTGTTATATTAATATTTGTTTTAATGCGCAATATCATATTTTGTATAATTTATTTGGCAGCATCCTATTCTAGTTAAAAAACACTGTTCTAAAAATGAAAGATAATGTTACCACTTGTCAGCACTTCGCACATTATAAAATGTAATAATGTTTTCCTGGTTGTTTGATGTTAAATGAATTAAATTTTCTGTAGCTCTGCATCCTTGACTTAATAATACCTTAAGAGGTTATTGCCGCCAGTACTACTTAATCTGCATTCTAAACAATTTTATTGCCAAGACTAACCATGTGAGTTCCTCAGAAGTGAAAACGAGTTTCATTGTAGTCATGCAAGCATTTACTGCAGACAAAATTTTAGGATCACAAAAATTGGGTGCGATGGAGGTGGATGTTTGAAGGTTTACTTATGGAAAACAAGGAGATTTCGAAGTGTTCTCGAGAAATAGTCAAAACCGAGCCGGTTGCCTGTTTTCAAGAGCGAGCCAGTTTTCAAGGGCAGCCGAAGGTGCTGCCCTTGAAATCCGAAATAAGTACAACCGGGAACGGGTAATTAATAAATTAATGACATGAAGAAAACAGGGAGTTTCTCTTCTTTCACCGGAAATTTCCTGGTGAATTACTTCACCTTTAACACTGGAAAGCCCTGCTCTTTCCAGCAGTGTATCCTTTCCATGGTGTCAGCAAGGACACTTCTGCTGACCGCTTTGATAGGAGACTGCATTTTACTTCTGAAAGGACTAAACTGTATTTTTTCTTTCATAAGTCAGGTTAAGGCCTTATCTCGCATAGCATTGGAGTCAAATTAAATAGAGATCTTTTCTCTGGACAGATGTCCCGTAAAGTTCTGGATCTTATGGTTAGCGAAAAAGGTATCTAATATCTTCCCAGGTCACCTCCGGTCTGGGGCAGATGACCGGAGGTAATCTTTCTTCCTTTTCTTCGCTTTCGGCAGTCTTTTTCGCGGGAGCAATTTCCATTTGCACAGGCCCGTTTTTTGACACTTGATTTTCACGAATAGGAAAGTCCGGTTTTTAACACTTCGAAATTATTAGAAGTCGAAATCACTGGAGTAGCTTCCTTGGTGGTAGCCGGCTTGGCTGGTTTTCTTGGAGAAAGCCCAGACAGTTTCTTTTTATTTTATCTTAGAGTAGAATTCTTCCTGCCATCTTGGGAAGGTGAAGCATCTAAAGCCGAAATGGAAGTTTTCTGTCAGAATTTTTGAACAGTTGGAGATAGATTCTTTGCGTGCAGAAATAATAAAATTTAACTTTGTGTCTAGTAGCTTATCTTGAGGCACTAAATCTGCACTGCATATTAGCAGCATTATTTAGTGCGGCATGTAAATTCATATTCAGTGTGGTATCCCATAAACTACCCCTTTTGTCAATATTTAATTGCTGTAAAACTTTACTTGAATGAGTAACATTAATAGGAAAATGCTTGAGAGCCATAGTTGGATCACAAAGCAACAACTTTGATGAGATCAAACGTAAAAATATGAAAAGTTTGTCAGATTGGAAGAGCGAGAAACGCACCTTCACACTCAACAGCTCAGTCGAATCTCTTCATAAAGCAAGCAACTCCAGCTGCTGTATGCTCATCCAAGCATTTATTTAATTTTAGAAAAATCAATTAATTTCAGCGGAATATCTGCTATCGACTCCATTGTAAACATAGCACATGCGGATGTTGTTCATAACCTACGTGACCACATTTTCCCTCTTCTTCTCTTGGGGAATGTATCTAATTGATAAGACAAAGATTATTGAAGCTCTAAGAGTCTTTCACTATTAAAAAAGAACATAAATTTTTCTACTAACTTAATTTGTTCTTAAATAAATAAGTTCTTAAATAAAATAAAATTAATTTTAATTAAAGTGTTTCCAATTAAAAAAAAAAAAAAAGGTTGAGAAATACTAGTCCAGATGAATACTTCAACTTGAACTCTGACGATCGTGGAAAGGAAACAAGACATGGACGCTGAAGTTTTGTATCGTCATTCTTATATGTAAATTTAAATGTATCTTTGTACTTCGATGAGTTAACTAATTCTGCTCGAAATTAAAATGGTATGACGGTTATTTATGTTTATTGTTTTTTATTCTTCCTTATTATGTAATTTATTTGAGAAATAAAACAATTGCTAATATTTTTGATTTTATAAACATAAAAGTAGTCGATGTTAATATAGAGACCATGAGCAATGTAAAAAAAAAAATATATATATATATATATTTATGGGATTCTTTTTCGTAAAATCGCATTTTTTTTATATTTTCGGAATTGTTCTTTCTATGTTGTGGTTTTCATCAAAAGGCCGTAGACTTACTTATCTGATCAATAAAAAGTTAATAAGAAGACGAATAAGGTGAGCATACAGCAGCTGGATAAGAAGAGCCTGATGAATTTTCGAATAATCGATTAATAGAAGATTATTAATGTAATTATTGTGTTTATATACTTCTCTCCTTTCACTTTCTCTTTTGATTGGTAATACCAAAAAATTGTAAATTGTGCTGAGTCATATTTCATCACGTCTTGATTAATTGAAGAAAATAATTTATTTGTAAGAGGGCACAGGGATAAAATATTACTTTGTCGAAATGTATTTCAACACTGAGATTTCAGCAGTTTCCCACCTAGAATTTTGGGATTTGCTGTTTTCTGTGAAATGCTGTGTATTCTACTTAGTTCCTTCTCAGTTTATTTATTTTTACTGTGTTAGTTAAGATTTTCAACTGGTATAAAATTATAGTTGTTTTAGTGCTTCTATAAAAGATTTAAAACAGCTGTGCATTTTTTTTTTTTTTTTTTTTTTCCCAGTAGGGCATGAAGTTAAGATGATGTACTATTTATTCTTTGATGTATACTTTAAAATTTTGGTGGGTTATGTAATTGCACACTATGTAGGATAATATGATGTACATATAGACAAATAAATACCATTGTTAGCAGTTTTATACTTTATATACTATTTATTCTAGGTAAGTTATAAATTATGTATAAGTAATGTAAAAATTATATCACAAAATTTTAAAAATTAGGATTATTTATTAAAATTTGATCTTAATTGTTAAACATTAAATTTAAAGTAATTATTATTTTGTGAATATATTTTAAATTTCTCATAGAGTGGTAATTTTTGTGAAGATGTTTGATGGCCTACTACAAATGAGATGAAATTTGACTACTTGAATTTCAGTTTTTGCACTCAACATTTATCAAGGGAAAAAAAAGTACACAAAATTTACAGATGATGGTATTGTAAATCACGCTATAAATGTTCAATATGACCTACGACATTCTGCATCTCCTAAACCATTTTTTCCAGCGTTGAACACAGTGAATTGATTGTAAATGCTAGAGTATGTTAGTGAATGCTGCCTTTTAGCTCTGGCAAAAGTAATAATTTCACTGTAGACTGGTCTTCTAAAAAACATTATAACTAGAAATCACATGGGTTATCAGATAAACTTGAAGGCCAATCTATTGGGAAGTAATGGCTGATCATCTGTGTGTTGATGAAAACTTGCTTTAGCTGTTGCTAAGAAGAATGCGCATTGCAGTGTTACTTTGATATATGTCTGTGGGGAAATATATGTCATGGTACCACCGCCTTTGGCAAGAATTGGCGATTCTTGTTTACGTGCAACCGCCTTCGAAGTAAAATACTGTCCAAATCATAATGCAATAAAACATAATTAAAACATTAAAAAATATTTTAATAAACTCCACTTTAAATCTGTTGTGAAGTATGAGATATTATAGGTGGCACTGATGTGCCAAAAGAGTTAGATCTTGTAACTCATCGTGAGCAGACGCATATCTTGAAGCGTCGAAAGGGCTAAAATACTGTAGCCCCACTATCTGAATATGTATATAATATTGTATATAGTGTTTAAATCATCGAAATAAAAGTTGTGTGTGAACTTCGCTTAATCCTTGAAAAGTCACCGACCACAAACAGCATTTTGCAACTACACCTCTGGATGGATACTTTCATGATCGCTCATCTACAAAATCAAAATAAAACAAGGAAATAACAAAAAAAAAAAAAAAAAAAAAAAAAAAAAAAAAAAAAAAAAAAAAAAAAAAAAAAAAAAAAAAAAAAAAGGAAATACATGTTAACTAATCTTCACAGTATAAAAAGTAAATATCAACTTCCCTTGTTTAGAAATTTCTGCGTCTTCTACATAGAATTCCTTAACAGCATCCAAAAACTATTTAAAATTATCTGAACTAGAATACTGCCATCGCCACATAAATACACAAAAGTAAAAATCAAAAATATCCCCTGAACTGTCCGACCGTTGGTGATATTTCTTTCAAAAATCTTTTTTTATTACATCCCACATACCTTCCATAGTGATGATATGAGCTCCAGGTTCCAAATCCTTAAATCTCACTGCGTAATTTACTGAGAGGGGAATGAAGCCATTTAAATCTTTGTTTACACACCAGTCAATCGACATTTTCTTTCCCATTCGTTCCAAAGCATACAGAAACTTCAGGTTAATCGTATCACCAGTAGACATTTTATGGTATAAAGCACAAAATTAGTAATGTAATTCCTAACCAAAACCCTATGCATAAATAAGCCCTGAGAAATTTCTCCAATAATCAGAATCACCAATCACACATTACAACCAATCGCATCATAATAGTTTCCATAACATTCAGCGTAATACAGTCAAAAGTCTTTAATCTGGATTATCGGTTTTTCCAGATTATAGATCGTCAGTTCAAATATGGTAAGATGGCATGCAGAAATTATAAAATTAAAAATATGAAACTGTAATTTATGAAATAAAAAGCAATTATGACCTAAAGGGTATCAAAATTAAAAAAAAAAAAAAAAAAAGCTTAATATTTTTTGTTTACTTTATTAAACATCTCTTTCAATGCGCGCATGCGTAAAGGATACATTACACATAGTGGAAATTAGAAAATTGGAACCAGAAAACTATTTGATGTGTATTCGTGATATTTATAATGACGAGGAATTTGATTTAAATCATATCAAAGATGGAGTACATCGAGATAAAATACTACATTTAGTAAGGAATTATAAGCCAAATAAAATAAAAACATCTGCCCTGAAGATAAGGATAGGACTGACAGATCAACTTCCAGCTCATTGTGCGCTGCGACGGCCCCCTTCCCCGGCAGAGCAGCATGAAATTGATAAGCAGATTTCGGAATGGTTAGAGAAACAAAGGATATGCCTTTATCCATTTTTTGCAGCAATTCCACTTTTTGTTTGATGGACATCGAAACATGCTTTCGCTTTGTATATCCTTTGCAGCTCCAGAATCGAAAATTCTTTTTGACATAATGGAAAGTTCAAGCTTACTTTTATAAAATTGCTCTAACAGTCTGCAAAAAATAATAAGCAGGTTCCAATTAGAAGATTAAGGAACGATGCAATTTGCAACATTAATTGAAATAGATAATTTTAGCTTAGCTTATACCGTTCGTTATACATTAAACGCACATGCGTAAACGCTACGCATGCGTAGAAAGTTTGTAGCTTTGAAGTCTGGATTATAGATCACGGGTCCTGGAATAAAGACTTTTGACTGTAGTTACCTGTTCAAACTGTTAAGCTGTAATTTGAAGTTTTCAGATTGCTGTTATAAACATGTTACAGGTTTATTTGTTGACATATATAAACAATAGAAGTACTCATGTAGGAACACTGAGACACAAAAATACTGATGGCACAGCTTGTAGAAAGCATAGAACATAGATTCATACTGAAAAGGAAGAATTCTGATTGCATAGAATGCTAAATTGTTGAATCTATAATGACTAGAAAACTTGGCAGCCGAGTTAGATTAAATATTCACTTTTTAGTTCAAATGACATTTAAGGCCACAGTTCACTTGATACTCTAATGATGCCTATATCTAGAATATTTACATTTTTTATACTGTTGCAATAGAAAAATAGCACAGAGATAGAAACAAAAATGGGACAATTATCCAGTATGAAGGCTCACCAAGAGAAAATTTTGGTTTAGGTTGTTTGTTAAGAGAAAGGTTTCACTTCTTGAAATTTTGAGTTTAGATTCCGAATTAACTATGCCATCAGCATTAAAGCCATGTGACATAGACTGAACTTGAAATGATGAAGTCCAGAAAAATTATTACTATTTTTAGAATAGAGAGGGGTAATTAAAGACTATCGCTAATTGTTATTTTGATTTACATGTTTAGCACATATATGTATATATATATATATATGTGTGTATTTTTTAATAATTAAATTAATGTAAAATTCTTTTATCCTATTTTTTCTAGTTGGTTGCTGTGCAATCCCCTGAGGGGACAAAAAGAATAGAATGCAAGTCATCAGAGAGTATGATGTCCTTTATGACAAAGGTAAAAATTTTTCATCAGTTATTAAACAAACTGATTTTTTTAATCAAATTAATAATTTTCACATAGAAGTAACGTAGAGTTCTTTCTGATATTAATTAGTATAATCTTTTTTTATACGTACATTATATGGGCCTGATTTAGATTTATATGTCAAAGAACTTTGATATAGAGTACTTTCATGGAACTTTTCAAACTGATTTCAACTGTCCCAACTCTTAATGGATTTCAACCATTTAATGATAAAGAAGAAGGAAAACATAAAATATCCATAACGGTTTTAATGTTGATACCATATTGTTAGTAGAGTGCCACTTAGTATCAAACATAAACATTAATGCAGAATGTAACTAGATGCAGCAACCATACAGATATATAAAGTTTCATTAAAGGAATGATTACTTTATTAAACAAATACAAAATGCAAAATAATGGATTTTACCAGATTAATATCTGAGACATAAAACTCATGATTTCGTTTAAAGGTGAAGTGTCTTCATGCAGTTAGTAGCCGATGATTTAGATGAAGTAGTAATCTAAGTAGTGCTAGCCAATTTTGCACATGCTATCCCATATCAGGATCAATAAAGTTGTATTTGTGGTTAACTTGAAAGTCCTCATATCTGGCAGCTGCCAGTTCATCCACTTAAGCAACTGAAAATCTAAGAATGTACGTATTACTGCAGTCACCTCATAGAAATTGCCAAAATTTTCAGAATGAATTTGGAACCAATTTTTCACACACATTCCTCATGTTAATATGGTTTTTAACAATTTCATAAACTTGAGGTTTCGAGATGTTTAACATGTTGGCCATTAAATGAACACTTAATCATCAGTCTGAGTTCAGCAGTTCCCTCGCTCGCATCACATTGTCAGCTGTGGTGGTCGTTGATGACTGTCCGGCATGATCTCCGTTGTTGACCTCTTCCCGGCCTTCCGAAAAAGACTTGTGCCACTGAAATACTTGCCAATCTGTCTGTAATGGTCTTGCCAAGTTTCACACAAAACTTAATTGTAAATCTTTGTTATAACAAATGCTGCATTTTCACTTGCCACAAGATCAAAAAGCAACTCTCATGGACAGACCTGTCCTCACTCAGAAAGCTTGAAGCATACTGAGTGACTTCGCACTGCTTAGCTGCCTTTCCCCACTACCAGTCTCAACTGGTTAGTCAGTCGTGTCACAATAAATTCACTGACATTACATTCAGGACAGACCTTGTGTATATATATATATATGTGTGTGTATTTGTGGGTCTTTGTGGAATTGGTTCTAAATTTCTTGCTGTATGTCTATACTGATTAATTTTCAGCAGCATACTGTGCAGAAATAACCTGGGATAATTTTGTTTTAAATACAAAAATTTTTGATTCTGTATGTATTTTAAATAGATTGCTAAAATTATTATTCAAATTATTTACATAAAAAAATAAATATGAATAATTTCTGTCATATGTTGTTTATTTTATTTTAAATAAAGTGCTTACATAATAATCGTGCTAAATATGATAATTAAGGTATATATTAAATGAGTTCTGTTCAATTATATTTTTCTTTTAAATTTGTGGACAAAATTATATTAAATATAAGTATATATATTAGCCTTCCAGCAGGCACGCACTCATTTATTTCACGAACGAGCGCGTGTCGTAAATTTTACGACAGAATATTTTCGTCTATTTTTACAGATTTAAACTATTACAAATGCAAAATGTTTAATAAAAATTAAGAGAAATTATAAATATATATATATACATCTATAGAAATTATTTATCTTTGATTATTTGAAATATATATATATATATACTCTAACTACAGTAAAAGAAATTAATAACTGTTTGTTAACAAGAAACAAAATTATTACTTTGCACACACAAAAGTCTACTGAAGGTGGAAAGACAAAGTCAAGAAAATTTAAGAATGTTTAACATAAGAAAACTAATCTAAATACTTCTCTGCTTATAAGTCTCTAATTAGTATCTTCATCGTCCATACATTTCGTACATCATATTTTTGTAAGCGAATGTCGCTTGCAGGTATAGCATTTCATGGATGCTGATGATCGTCTCCTTTCTTTTACACACAAACCGCAAGTTCCTCATTTCAGTACTTGCTGCAGTTGTTTTCTCAGAAGTTGGTGCATAATTAATATTTAGAAATACTGAAATATTGCGTGACAATGAAGAGATTTTGGCTTGACCTGTAAGGTGTTCTTTCATAAGACTTAAGAGCTAAGTTTTTCAGAAAATTCTTCAGCTTCGTTGATTATCAGGTTCCTTTAGCAAATATAAAATTTGTTCATTTATTCTGGCAATGTTTGTGAGACTAATAGACTGCACATGGCTATCTCTTTGTGATACTGAGTAAGTAGCACACATTTTGTCAGCAGTATCTATCCATCCTTTCATAGAGTTGTTATCCAAAACAATTTCAGGTTTACTGGTGTCATTATCAATATTTGATGTGTCGTGCATTGTTGAAAGCAGTGTAACAACTCTGTTTTTAAGAGGAACGTACAAAACTAGAGTGTTATCTTTTTAAAAGCTAAATATACTCGATCTAACCATCCTTTTTTTTAACATGGCAAAACCTATGGTGGAATTTCTTTTTGGTTCTTCTCAGGGTTCCTATAAATGTTAGTTTTTTTTTTTTTTAAAGTAATTAGCAAGAGGAATACTTATGTAATAATTGTAGATAGTTACATTTTTGCACAAATTTTCAGTTGTAGTAACCAGTCTTTTTACAACATCTAGTAGAGAACTTGAAACTGCATATGGGCCATCTGGTTGTTATCATCAATAAATTTCAAGACTATAGGCATAAAATGTCTTTGAATCACACAGAGTGTACATTTTTATTCCATATTTTGAAGGTTTACTGGGGGCATATTGAATAAACTGGCAACGACTACAAAAGGAAGGCAACATTTTTTCTGTTGTAGCAAATTCAGTCGTACTATAGCAGTTCCTTAGAAAAGTGTCAAAAATTGTTCGTATAGCTGCTAGTTTATCTATTTTAGACTTGTTTTTTTCTGGTTGTTCTATCATCAGATCAAAGACATCTTATTAGGGGAAAAAAAAAGCTTTTATAACTCGTGACTGCCCTTGAAATTTGCACACCTGTGCCATAATTTTTAAATAACTCCTTGACACGATGCGCTTTTTTTGCTCCTGTCAAATACAATAATCCAAAATATGCCATCATTTCACGTCTTGTAGTATCCTGGCATTCTCTTTCTCTCGAGTAATCATGTTTCCATCTCGGATAACTTATATGTTGGTTTGTATATTTCAAAATTTCATCAATCATATTTACTCTATTATCGTAAATGATCCAATTTCATCATCTAAACCTTTTGCAAAACTTTTCATGCCAAGAAGAGCTTTCACAATGTTCAGCTTTTTAGTTTTAGAGGCATTTTAATGCCATCTAGTAATTTTGTCTCTGCCAGTATAAAAGTCGTCATCTTCAATTGATTCTTCTTGATCGTCTTCAGACATGGATTGCTCAGATTCACTGCTGATACAATTTACTTCAATATTTTCCTCGCAAAAATCACTATTGCTGTCCGAAAACACTTCCGCATCAGTCCTTTCATTTTCTTTATCAGAGAATTCTTGAAGAATATGTGTGATATCTTCCCATTTTACCAGCTTTGAAGACATATTGTCAAAAATATGCGAAATACATAGTTTTTACCTTTGTACAATAAATTAATAACATAATATAACGTACATAAAAACATTATTATATAAACAAAACTTTAAATTATGTAAAATGTATTAAAAACGTAAAAACAATAATTATTAAATCTATTAGCAAGAGCAGGCGCGAGTCGTAAATTTTACGAATGAAGTACAATACTGCATAAAACTTAGTCGAAAAATGAAACTTTACCTTGGAAACAGGGTAAACCCATTTCATATCAAAGGGATGGAACACACAGAGAAATAGCAATGGTCTACATACATTTTGCACACTGTACATAACTGTTTTTTAAGATATAGCATGTTTGTCGTAAAATTTGCACATGCGTGCCCGCTGGAAGCTTAAACTCTTCAATTGTATAAATATAAATTTATATTAATTTCTTTCAATATGTATACATTAAATAATGTGTATTGATATTGAATGAACTGTCAGTTTGTCATTTACCGTATTCAGTTTTGTTTTCATGGATGTTAGCAACATTTGGCAGCAAATCGCACTTTCTTAGCCTGAGTTGCAGCATTGCTGTTTCCTCTTGTCAAGGACACTAAAACGAACTATTTGTTATGTGAGAAAACAGTTGTCACATTTAACAGAAATTGGTGACTGGCATCCCATTAACAGAAAAATACAATATGCTAGGAAATGTAAGTTTAGGAGGTTTTTTTAAAGGAACGTTATCACTTTGTAATCTTAGATATATGTCTTATTATTTGTTAAAAGCAGCATATGAAGTAAACTGTTTTATGTTAACTCAGTTTGAAAATTATTTATCTGAATTAGTATTTTTAGGTGGCAGCAAAGAATAATTATTAAATGATCATCTGAAATAAAATTGCTGATGGTTTCATGCTGTTATATTTCTCTTAGTGTTTAACTTTATAATTAAATATATGTTATATAGTTTGCTGCAGTAAACTTAAATGTTAAAATTGATTAATTTATCTTACAGGTTCAAAGTGCCTTTGAACTTGACAGTTGCTTCGATTGTAATTTATATAAAGATAGAAGCAGACGTCAGCCATTCATAGTTACAGAAAGGAAGCGTCTTTCTCATTATGACATAAAGTAAGAACTGCACTTTTGTATTTATATAATGAATGGATTTTAAAATCATCTGATTTTTCAGTATTTATAAAATTAAAATTCAGAGTTTAAATACTTACATGTAAGTATTTAAACTCTGAGCAGCTGAGACTGAGAAAGCATTTCAGTTAAAGATCTAATATAAATAAGCATAATTAGATCTAATAAGAAAGCATTTCAGTTAAAGGTCAGTATTATTGCAAAAAGTCTAATTTTTACTTTGAAAAGAAAAAATATTCTTGCATGTGTAGTTATGGTTCTGTATCTGCTGTTTCTAATTTATTTAGTCTCAGTTATTTGCATTTTGCAGTGACCTGCAGAAAGATTAAAATGTAAATTGAAGTTATGAATTTTTAAGTTTCAAAATGCATGTTAAGTGTAATGTGGTCATAAACATAATACAAAATAGCAGCTGAGCTTTGTTTAAGGCATTCACTGTGTAGGTTTTTTTACAGTTATGGTGCTGGTGTATATGTTTATGTATATGTGCTGGTGTATATGCTGATGTATATGTAGGTTTTTTTACAGTTATGGTGCTGGTTTATGCTGGTGCTGGTGTATATGTTTTTTTACAGTTATGGTGCTGGCTTATTCACTGTGTAGGTTTTTTTACAGTTAAGGCATTCACTGTGTAGGTTTTTTTACAGTTATAGTGCTGGCTCCATCTGTTAGTGGAAGTGCTATAGTTTCTCTTAACTAACACCATGAACCTTTCGATTTGCAGATAAATATTACAGGGACTAGACTAAATGTATTCTTCTAATCCACTGTTAAGGATACAATACCTCCACTCACCCCCCCCTCAAGCAAGAAAGATTGTTACCTTTTATGCATGCATGATTTCAGCAATGTAACCCTGTTTCATTTATCTCCATTTTGTATTCCAAAAGCTCTGGTTTACCTTAAAAATGATCACGGTTCTTGATAGTAATACTGCTAGTGCGTATAAGCGTAAGTGAATCATGATGCATTTCTTGTTAATGAGTACATTAAGATATTAGATGTGATATACTTGAAAAGGGAGTAAAAACGTATTCATCTTACATGTTTTGTCATAGTTTGGGGGGGATTGCAGATACATGTTGTGTGAAAAGAGAAAATGTTCAATTTGAGAAGTGTTGAAAAACAAGTATAAAATTAAGTATTTTAATATTATACTAGATTGTGCAACAAAGTTGCAGTATTCTATTGAGGATTAATCCTTTTGTTACAGCAGTTGGGCAATTTTTGATATTCAGGTTTATGTCTCATATCTGTAAAATGCTTGAAGAGGCAGCCATGATTTCTGAAAATAGTTTACACCATCACAAGACACACTTTTTTTTTGTCTGACACTTAAAAAGAGAAAAAAATGGCATCAATAGATACCAAAACTTAAAGGGAAACTAGATGGGACTTTTCCGAGAAGCAAGATTCTGGTAGCATTGGTTTGACCCACGGAGGTCCTAGAAAAACCAGCTCCACTGGAAGCAATGTCCTGGCTGGGTAGGATATTTTGAAACTTTGCCAGAAATGTCTCACTTGTAGCTTTGTCCCACATAGACGTCAATCAGACAAAAGTTCTATTTCTGAAGGATCATGGGAAATTCCCATGTAGTGATGGCTGTAGTTTGAGGTTATGAACAATAGAAATAAAAGACAATTTTATCAAAGAAGTATGAAAAAATCCTATTTGTATGCTGCATTTTTATAATATAACCATCTATATCATTTTTAAAATGTTTATATACTGATATAATTTATAATCATGGAAATTAAAGAGCAGAGAGTATTTTATAACATTCTTGTACCTTTGATGATTCGTTTATGAATTTTTCATTGCATTCTATTTTTTGAGTGACCCTGCACTAAAATCTATCAAAAGATTACTTAGAAGTTCATTTCCTCACTGTAGTAAAGCGAATATCACTTTTGATTGCGGTCATACAGTGGATTCCAGCTGGAAAATACTAAAGTAGGTTTGTGATAATAGAATCCTATCTAAAGACTGGCCACTAAGATTTCTTTTTGTTATATTTTGAGTAAATATTTAAAACTGTGTACATAAATAACAGTCACACAAAGATTTATAAATGAATATCTCTGCTGTCATTTAGAGTATTAATAAAAAATGCTGCTGCTAGGTATATGATAAACATATAGATGAATGCGTACTTCCTTATTATTTAAATGGTGTCTAGAACCCTCTTGTTAACCCCTTAAGTGCTGAGGGCGTATATATATGCCTTGCTCAGCCGATGTGTTAACTGCCCTGGGCGTATATATACACCCTTCCAAAATACTATCATTTGCTTTGCGCTGCTGCCTGTAAAATTATTCGCGAAGCTTTGGAATGTAATACCACAATGACCTTGATAAAGTATGCGAAGAAGGATACTATTTCAGAGAAGTGTGGGAAGAAATTGGAGAGAGGGATGTGTCTAAAGCGGTGAAAGTAATGACTGCGTGGTATTGGCTGGTGTTCTTTGAGTAAAACACATTTTTTAAAAAATTTTGTGTTCTCCGTTTTCGTTTACTTTTTGTAGTAGTTTCCAGGAATAAAGAAAGATATAATGGATGTTTCTTTTTTGAATTATTTTTTGATGAACTGCTCATGCTTTGTTACTGAAACTAACCGTTCTGTAGACGAGTATATGAACCAACACGTTGCAAACAAAAAATCAAGAACAAAATCGTGGCATTTCAACCAGTTCAGAAGAAATATATGTTTTTTTAGGCATACTGAATTCACTAGGTATAACAGTGAAACCCGATATTGCACTTTACTGGTCTAAAAATGAATTGATCGAAACTCCACTTTAGGGACCTTTTTTATTAAAAATACATCATTTTTATTATACTTTTACTCAAAACATTAAATTTTGTGCATTCATTTTTTTCTTTTATTCTTTATTTTGTGAAAGTAAACAGTTTTCAGAAAGTAAAACTTGCACTTATTTTCCTCCTAATATATCACATAACTACGTGCACCTGTGTGAAAAACCGTGGCACTATGAAATTAATCTTGTATGTTTTCTGCGGCAGTTAAGGGGTTAATAGACATGCCAAAGTCGCAATCCTACTGAGAGTTTTGTGTGGACTGTAAGGACCAAGACATTTGGTTATGGAGTACCTTTGCAAATAATTCCAATTACCCTCACATCATCGTTAATAAGAAATGAAATAATTAAGAGTCCAGAGTGCTAAGTACTGTAAGTGATTGTGGTGAGAACTGCTGTCCATTTAATGATGGTTTATGAAGAGCTTTGTGTAAAATTACTGTTTTGGTATACTATAATAACAGAGGGCTCTTGGTAATTTTTTAATAATGAGGATAATAGTAATAAGGAAGTACCAATATATATACTAAATTATAAAAATATTATTTACATTGTATGTTGTGAATATGTATACATACTGTTTCTACTAAGAGGTCATTTGAAATTGAATGCTTTTTCACTATCTGTAATGTCTCATACCCGTGTTAAATTTTAGAACATATCCATGGAAATAGACACTATTATATAACCATTTGTTTTTATTTGGTATAAAATTTTAATAAGATAGTTTTTATATGTGTTTACATACATCATGAATGTAAAGATCTTACCTTAAATAGTTTTTAAATGAAAACTTCCTTTGCATAAATAACGCAAAGTTTCCCTGCAAACTTAAAGTTTCTTATACAAAGCTTAAAAGTGCTTTTTTATGTCACACAGTGTGGCACTTACGGGGTTAACAAGAGGTTTCTAGACATCATTTAAGTAATAAGGAAGTATGCATTCATCTATATGTTTATCATATTCCTAGCAGCAGCATTTTTTATTAATATTCTAAATGACAGCAGAGATATTCATTTCCAAATCTTTGTGTGACATATGTGTTTTTTTATCATCATTTTTAATCATACCACTTATTTCCATTTCAAAGGGGCCCTTCCTTGCAGTACACTACCACTGAGATTTCTGTTAGAAAAATATCATTAATATCAATATGTAATACGTCACAATGATATGCCATTTTATTGTCATAATCGATCCATCATGTGTGCAATGTTGTTATTTACTTTGAAATGTGGATTGTGTGTATTTTTTTCTTATTTGTGAATACAATGTATACTTATCTTAGATAATAAGTTATTCATTTTTAATGTTTTTACTTTTAGACATGGTGATACAGTCTACTTAGCATTCTCGTCTCAAAAGAATGAAAAACCCCCATCATCATCTTCAAATTCATCAGTTCGTGAATCATCTCCAAAAGATTCTGTTTCATTAGCTGATAACAGGACAGATATTCCCACAAATTTTGTTGAAGACAAAGTAGACACATATTTATTTAAACAAAATGGTTGTATACAACGAGATAGAGATCCTAAATTGTGAGTAATTTTGCCTTTGATTTATGACTATAGTTGTGATGAATTTGTTTATGTATGAGATGTATATAATTCCAAGCTTTGTGCAACTGCTGATTTCGGATTGAGTTGAAAATGCTTGCATCAGTTGCATTGTTGCTCTCTGGGCAACAACATGTGTGTCCAGCCATGGAAGTAAACTTATTAGCTATTATGTGAAAGTAATTCTTTCTAGTTTCGTGTTTCAGAGCATTGTGTATTTTTGCTCCGTTCAGGATGCAGTAAAATTCCAGAAATCCGCAAAGCTTGGGACCAAAGGTTGTGTGGATTTTGCAGATTTCAAAACAGAAAAGATAAATCATAATATTCAGACTAAAAGTGCAAAATAAATAAGGCGTGTTAGATACATTTAATTAAATTATTATTACATATTACATTAATATACAATAATTAATTATATGCATATATAAATTGATTATTTATATGTATTAGTATTCATTTACATTAGTGCTTACAGGAAAATTTAAAAGCATTAGGGATGTATTCAGTAGACATAAAAATAAGGGATATTAATAAAGCATAAAATATTTCATTTTTTTCTACATGTTTCAAACATTTTTCTTATGGAGGTTTGTTTTAAAACTTTTAGGGTGCTCCAGAGTAAGTTTTTTTTTGTAAATTATATAGAGTCATAATCTCTTGCTCTGTGACACAGCTTTGTTCTAAAAATTTTAAGCATTTTTCATTTAGTTCCAGACCCTCATTAAAAGACATTTTCTCACTTCTATCAAATTCACTATCTGTGTCAGTGTCAGAATTGTCTTCTTGCTGTGGCGAGTTCAAAACAGAGCCAATGATTTCATCATCAGTCATCTGATATGCCAGCGTTTGCTCATCTGAACACATCATCCATTCAACAGTATCTTCTTGCAAAGCCTCCTCATTTATTTTTTCTTTTGAAAATAAAAGCAATTTTCATGCTTTAATCCTTGCTGAACTGACCCTAAAACCAGAAAATTCACTGTCATCACTCTCAGTTTCAATAAACAGAGAAAATGGCCATACATTATGCCAGGCATTTACTAATGTCATTTGGGAAACAGAATTCCATGATCCAGCTAACAAGTAAATGCAGTCTTTGATGGTAAATGTTTTTATATATATATAGATATAGATATAGATATATAATTACAAAGTGGAATAGAAGGGTCACCTGAAAGAATTTTTTTCAGAAACTGATTTATAGTGGCATTTACTACTGTGTATTATGCCTTGGTCCATTGGTTGGATCAATGAGTATTTGGGGGCAAAAAAAGGGCCATGACATTATCACATGTTAAAATAGTTGCATCTGGATGTGTAAAGCAGTTGTCTAATAATAGTAAAATCTTGCAACTTGATGGTAACCCCCCCCCCACAGTTACAATGCCTTCTAGCCTCTTTAATGAAATGCTCCATGAACCATTCAGTGATAAGTTGTTTTGTGAACCAGGAATTTTATTACTCCTGTAAATCACAGGTAGGGATTTTACTCCATTCATAGCTCTAGGACTCTTACCCACTACCACTGGTTTACATTTGTAAGTTCCAGCTGCGTTGTTGCATACTAAAATGGTAACTCTTTCTTTAGCATCTTTCACCCCTGATGGTGCACTTTCTTCGCTTGTCATAAATGTGTTTCTTGGCAACCATTGCCAGAAAAGTCCAGTCTCGTCCATATTAAAAACCTGTTCTAGGCTAAGATTTTCTTCTGCCACTAAAAAAAAAAAAAATTCACCAATAAACTCCTCTGCAGCAGCTTTATCTGATGAAAGTGTTTCCCTAACATGCTTTCAGATAGCATATACCGTGTCTCTGTTTAAATCTGTTCAGCCGACCGCTGCTGAAATTGCACGGCTCCTCTATTTTTAAATCAGCATGAATCTGCTTCGCCTTTTTTCTCAGAAACAGTCCTGAAATTGGTACTCCATCACTCCGCCGCTGCCGGAACCGCTTGTACAAGACAGCATCGAGGTTTGCAAAGATTTCCGGTGTTAGAATCACTGTTGCTGTAAAATTTCAACAGTTTTCCTTTATTTTTCTGTATATCATACATAGTCTGTGTTGCTATTCCATATGATTCTGCTATAAAGCGAGGAGTAGCACCTGCCCTCCTTTGCAGAATTTCCACTTTTTGCATTACCATTAATACAACGTGTTTACGTTTTTCAAGGTTGCAAGCAGTAAAATCATGAGTGCATTTCTTATCTGTCATTGTATTAAAAAGCGCTGAAATTTAAAATATTCTTAATTTATCCACAAAATATCCGGGTAAAAAAACGGCAGCACTAAACAATCTCGTGAAATAACAAAGTTCAGAAAATACGACGACGTGAATCGTGAACTTGAAAGAAGAGTTGAGGGAATCGTCTGCTTTTTTACCTCGATGCAGATGGTAGGGGAAAAACACTTATCATAATGTCAATAATTTGCTATTTCCGTTATGACTCATTATTATTCGGTAATTATGATGCCATTATTCGGTAAGTATTTTTTTTTCGATATCTCGTACTCCATGTTGTGTTTTCCGGAATCTATAAACTCAATGTTTATATTTTGAGAGGCAACGAAGATTACAGGTCAGCAGATTTTCGGTATTTGACTGTATTTTGATATAAGGTGAATTAGGCATATCATTTTTAACTTTTCATCGTGTTTTATCTCTTATTTGTCATAGCCAGAAACAATACCTGAGCACTTGTGGAATGTTGTTCTTATGAAAGACAAATTACGGACTGAAATTGCTTGATTTCTGATATGTAAAGTGGGAAGTTACTATATCTTTAACATGAGAAAATGTTGTTTCACAACTCTTAATGGTTTGATTGCTTGATACTGACTTTCAGATTGGAATTTAATATTGCAAGACTTTATTATTTTTATGTGGATCATCACATACTTTCTATGCAGTGTTATTGTGGTAATACTTTATAATCAGAAAAGTCCACGCGTCTCACGGGAGAGGGAATTAATACGAGTGTTGGTTGGTTTGATTTTCACCTATATTGTTTGGAGTATTAAAAAAAAAAAAAAAAAAAAAATCAAGTACTTGTCTTGTTTTAGATATGAATGCTTGGTTTCATGTGATCTGTATATATTGATATTGTTGTCCCACAAATGTATAGTTAAAACCTTTCACACAACATTTCTACAACTAGAGATAACATGTCGCATCACATTGCATTTATCTATAAACTTTTTCAAATCTATAATATATAAAGATTGGTTTTGCTGACTATGATGTAGTTAATTTAGATTTAATTGTTGTATATAATTTCAATATAATTTCTAGTGAAAAATTTGATCTGTATGTTTATTTTTGTTGTCTTGTTTATTTTTCAGTTTCATTTCTATCTAAATATCTTTTACAGCCTAATTTAGCTTTTGTTTATTTTTCAAAGTTTGCTTTTATATTGATCACATGTAATTTTATTTTTCATATTATTCTCTCCCTATATATAATGGTTTTAGACCAATTTGTTTTTTTAAATGGCCGATTTGCACAATGAAATTTTTTATGGTTTTTTGTAGTAGTCAGTTTAGCACAATGTTATGTTTTATTCTTTTTTCCAAGTGTTTTGAAAGCGCGGCGGGAAAATTCTGATACATTTTGGATTCGGTTTTATATAATTTTTAAAGTCTTAAATGAAAATTTAATTGAATCTTTTTTTGTTTTTTGATCTCAAATGAACCGGAAAAATGAAACATGTTTTCAAAATATATCAGTTCCACTTTTATGAAGCTTTTATGATTATTTCAGTTTTAGTGGTTAAATATTGCATTTAGTGCTATGTCATTTCCATGGCAGCTCTGAGTTCAGCACTTGAAGTGTATTTTCATAAACTATTATGAAGTTATGAATTATGAAGTTTTTTTTTATATTTTTTTTTTTTTCATTTTTCTGGAGATAATGTAGTGTGTTTTGTTTAAGATTTATATATGTTGTCTTGAAGTAATCTTCTCTCTCTTTATAATTGCTTTGATTTAAAAAGAATTGAAAATATTGTGAAATTTATTTAAACAGTTATCCACTTTTTGCCCCAAATTGTTTAAAAAATGAACCTAAGGTTCAAGATTTTTACTTGCGTATTTCATTTAATAAATTTTTTTTTTTTTTTTTTTTGTAGATGCAGACTATTAAAATCTGTATTCTTAAATTTCTTTTTCATTTCAGATTTCAGATTTTGATGTAATTTAAAACTTTCAATATTAAGTTACTCCCTCCCCTTATTGCATTTATATGAAGGATTAGAAAAATTTGAGAAACACTTAGAGTTTGGATTTTAAAAGAAGTAAATAGGATTCTTTCCTGCTCTATTTTTCAGACTAATGAATCTCTTGAATATTTTTGTGATAACATTTTTAATTAATTGTAAATGTGTATTTTACATGTTTATGTTTTCATACTTATGTATCAAACCACCTTGGCATAATTCAGATTTTTTTTTTTTACAAATGAAAAAGTTATTGTTTTGGATGCTAGCTGGTGATTTTAGCAACTTTTTAGCCCAAAGGGTCAATTTGCCCAGAAGCACTATTAATTTCATTTTGGCATTTTTTGATTAACAAACTCAACAATTTCAAACTGAGCTAGACAAACTTATCTCCAGTGCGTGAATTTTTATCTCCAGCACATGAGACTGTGTATCGGAAATTCTGCTTATTTTTAAAATTATTTTGCGATACTGCTGTTGAATTGAATTTTATGGTTTAAGTGTGGAGAATATCATATTTAATAAAAAAAGGTAACACACAAAATGGAACATCCCTTTGAGCTTAATGTAAAATCTAAAAGCTTTCAGATTTTTTAATTTTTATTATTATTTTTTCAAAGCCTCCCTAAAATTATCAATATTTGTCATAAGTCGTCTAACATCAACATATCAATATAAAACAAACTGTTACAACTAAAAATACAAATTTCAGTTATTAAATAAGGATTATATGATACATTAAGAAATGAAACACTCGTTAAATTCTATAAATGTCTGCACTATTCTTCACTTCATATGTAAAGTGCTTTGTTTTCACTTAAAACAAACAGCAAAGAAATGTGCAAACTTCCCATTGTGCACCTGCTAGCTATCAGACGATCTGGTTATTGTTTCCATTACTAGTTTTGCAGCAGAATACTGAATTCCTGCTAAAGTGTTATCACAGTTTCTTCCACTGCTGTCGAATCTCACGAGGGCATATATTAAACTTGAGTTCATGCATAATAAGTATCATACTTTGTCTATAAAAACCGTTGGATTTTGGAATATAACAAAAAGAATGCATTTGAAAATACTGACATTGCTTGATTGAAGCATTGCCTGAAAAATTTTATGTGTGTCATTACTAGAGTTTGACATATTCTGAAAATTTGGTGACACTTCAGCTAAGGTAGTTGCAGTAATGCGTGATTTTCTTTTTAAATGTGTACTGAGTATTTTGTTTTAAAATTTCTAGGTGTCAGCATGGAGCTCATGGCAAATGTGTACATTGTGTCCCGGTAGAGGTAAGTAATTAGCTATACTTGTGATCCTTTACATTGTAAATATTCTGGATTGTGAAAATTTCCTTGCATTACAGCCTTATGATGAAGATTATTTGCGTGAGCAGAACATCAAGCATATGTCTTTTCATTCGTACCTTAGGAAATTAATGGGAGGCATTGATAAGTAAGAATTTTTTCTCTTTTCTTTTGAATGTCATATCTGCTTTTGAATTGTATTGTATACTAGCAGCTTCACTGCCAGCCTTCGTCTGGCTTTTAAATGCACCGGAAAAATGGCTGAAGGGAACACCAAACGTTAAATTTAAAAATTGCGTAGAATTTTACTTTGCAAAACATAAAAAAAAGTTATTACGTATAAGAAAATTACAATGAAATAAGCAATATCCCTTAATACAAATATAATTATCCTAATAAATAAATAACCAACTTCCCTTTGCAAAATCTAAGAACTCAAATGCTATAAAGGAGGTTAAGAACTTTGTTCCTAAAAAAAATCACTCAAAAACTTTTCAGTATCTTAAAAAACAGTGAAATGAGCAATAAAATAACATAAAAGAATACAAAAACAAAAAAATTCTGGAAAGCGAAGTATAATTAATGATATTTATCTTATATTTTCAAGAGAAAAAAATACAATGAAATAAGCTATCTACCTAAGCTATACAATTCAGTATAAACTAGGAGTGTTAAACTATGCCAAAGTGCATGGAAACAGAGCAGCAGCAAGGCATTTCAGTCCACCACGTACCGAAAAAATGATACGTACTTGGCGACTGTAGGAAGATCAATTCTCTAAAAAATAGACTGTTAAAAAAACGAAAACATAAGCTACGATGCCCAGCTCCAGCTTGGCCTGAACTTGAAAATGCCGTAAAAATGTGGGTGATAGATAAGAGGAAATCTGGCATAAGTGTTTCAGCCAAAATGATAATCAATGAGGCCAAAGGATTTGCAGAAAAACATGGGGATCAGAACTTTTCAGGCTGAGGGCTGGTGCTACAGGTTCATTAAAAGGCAAAGCACACAAAAACAATTATTGCACAGAAAATACCAGCAGATTATGAAGAAAAAAATACTAGCATTTCGCAGGTTTGTTATAAATGCACGCAAGAAAACTTCTTTTGAGCTCGGTCAAATAGGAAATATGGATGAAATTCCACTCACATTTGATGTACCATCCAATAAGACTGTGAGTATTAAAGGGTTTAAATCAATAACCATAAAAACCACACGTCATGAAAAAACCCGATATATGTGGTAGTTCTAACATGTTGTGCTGATGGCACAAACTACCATGCCGTTTTTCATATTCAAAAGAAAAACTCAAGAAAAACTTCCAACGTGTGTAATTGTTCATGTTCATCCGAAAGGCTAGATGGAAGAAGCTGGAATGAAAGCGTGACTGTGGTTACAGAACGTATGGGCGAGGCGACCTGGACTCTTAAGAAAACCCTCTCTTTTGGTTTTGGATCAGTTTAGAGCCCTATAGAACTAAAACCATAAAGAATAAAGAGAGAGAATTAAAAACCTAAATAGCTGTCATTCCTGGTGGACTGACTAGCCAACAATTGCAGCCTTTAGATTTATTCGGTGAATAAGCCATTTAAGGAAAAAGTGCGAGAACGGTGGAACAAGTGGATAGGAGAGCCACATCACGGCCTCACACCCTCAGGTAGAATGAAGCGGCCCTCGGCCCACTATTTCACAAGTGTGCGAGTGGGTAAAAAGATCTTGGGAGGACATAAAGGCTGAAGTAATTGTTAAGTCCTTTAAGAAGTGCAGAATCAGTAATGCTCTTGACGGAACAGAAGACGACGCATTATTCGAAGAAGGTGATACTAGCGATGACGGAAACAGTAGTGATGACGATATTCTCGTTTTCGATGATGATGATAGTGAAAAGGATTTTTATGGTTTTGAAAGTGATTAAAGTCTAATTTCATGATAGGCAACGTTTTCCTTGAATCTGTGTTTTTTGTTGTTTCTGCTTTATTTTGTATTATGTTTGATTGCTTGCCGTTCATTCATTTATTCATTATTGAAATTTACATATCATGTTCAAAAATAGCTTGCCGTTTGTTAATTTTCCTTAATAAAAATATGTTTGGTAATTGCATTCAATGATTGTTTATTTGGCTTTTATGAAACATGAGAACTAAAAGAAACCACATTTTAAGTTACTGTGGTACCGCGCTGTCGCACGTACTATTGAAACTTTTTTTCCTTGTGTGTGGCCTTCTAAATAAGGGTGTGTCTTATATGCCATCAAATATGGTAATTTAATATTCTATGCAAGGGAATCATAAAGTGTATACATCAGATTTCTTTAAACAGTATTGCGTAAAGAAATTTTTTTTAATGTTTTGATAAAATAGAATAAACATTAAGATGATTTTCTTTTAAATACTTATTTGTTTTTAGTGAAATAATGACATTAGTTCCAGAAATATGCATTTTAGGATACCTTTCAATCAGCCACTATAATGTGCAAATCTTTTTTTTTTTTTTTTTTTCTTTTCAGAGGAAAATTTGCTGCCTTAGAAAATATTAGTTGTAAAATTAAGAGTGGTTGTAAAGAACATCCACCTTGGCCACAAGGTATTTGTACCAAATGCCAGCCAAATGCTCTCACCTTAAATCGTCAAGTAAGTTGACTAAAAATAGTTTAGTTTTTAAGTCATAGAATATATTAAGTATAGCTGTAATGAGCAATTTTAATGACAGTTATGAAAGCTGGAAAACTCCACTCTATAGGTTCAAACAAAGAGTTGCTTCATTAATAAGTGTTATAATATTTTACTGTTTGTAAGTGTAGAGCTGAAATTAAGTGGGCTTCCTAGTTTAAAATTTGATTTTATTATGATGAAAGCAAGGGCTCATTTGATAAATTTGGTTAATTTATATGACATGGCACTCCAATTTATTTGGTGGCATCACTGCTACATAGACTCCAACTACTATGGATTCTGTGTAGTTTCTATGGAAGTTCTTTAAAAATTAGGAAGAAAATACTATGAATTTTATTGAATGGGGGGGATGTTGTTTATTTGTGGTCTTGCGAGTTTTCAGGGATAACCAATTGTAGATCTGGAAGTTTAGACCGTTATCTTTCGAATCAAGTATCTTGGTGGTGTCTTTCAGTTATAGTATGGTGAGAAAACATAGCACATGCTTTTTGTGAGTTGCGATTAAACTGGAATTTTTTAAGTTCTTGATGATTGTATTCAGGTCTTACAGGTGCAGGTAAAAGTGGGCACAAAACCAGAAGTTCACCATGAGTTGTACTGGTTAATCCGGTCACACAAACTGTGCGGTTAGTGCAACAAAGACTTTTCACTTGTGTATGGTGTAAAAGGTAATTGTAGAGCTTGTGTTTCCTCAGAGGAATAAGGAAAGTCTTGTAAAATCAAAGCAGATATCAAATTTCTTCATAAAAAGTGCTGAAATAAAATGTTCATAAAAGATATAAAAGATAATGTTATAAAAACCAAATGTTAAGTAATTAAATTTTTAATTGAATGCAATGTTTCGGTTTTGGACCATTCAAAGCAACTTTTAAAACCAGCATTTCTTGATTCAGCTGTAGCCTCCCCCCCCTGAAAGCATCATGCAAATCCATCCTGTGAAAGAATTTTTTGTATTATTTGTAAAAAAAAAGAAAAGAATTTCCCACTGATTCGACCAAATTTAAGCACAAAATTTCTGGAAGCCATTCTCAATGAAAAGTAAACATGCAAGCAAATAAAGAACTGTGTTATAGAAAAAGGTTATCTAATTCAGAACTTAGCTTGTGAAACTATTTATATATCTTAGGTCATAATTTATAAATGAATTATAAGTATTTTTGTTGATGATTAGATGTATATTTCTTATCTCATTTCCACCCCTCTAGAAATCAGAATCTAGAAAGATATAGATTCTAACTTCCTGTGTAATTTTTTTGTGATTTAAAATATTTGCTTCAGTAATATATTACTAGATTTAGTAATATATCTGCTTGAGTAATAAAATGAAAATTTTAAATTAATAAACATTTAATTTACAAGAAGTATTCCTAATTATTCAGTTTTTAAAAATTTTTATGGATTTAAATTTAACGATTAATTAAAAATAACCATTAATTTTTAAAAATATACTTTATATGCATATTTTCAAAAACAAAAAAATAATGAATTCCATTAGTAATGCATATTTTTATTAAAATAATTTGATTATCGCCTATATCAAAGCAGAATAGGGTGAAGTTTTCAGGGATTTAATGCAAGTATCGAAGACCATTTATTTTCTGTATAATTCAAACAAAGAGTTGCTTCATTAATAAGTGTTATAATGAGTTTATACATGGCCAGCAGAATAGGGTGAAGTTTTCAGGGATTTAATGCAAGTATCGAAGATCATTTATTTTCTGTATAATTCAAACAAAGAGTTGCTTCATTAATAAGTGTTATAATGAGTTTATACATGGCCAAACATGCACTGAACGTTAAGTGGCCTCAGAATTGTCAGTTGAAGTGCCCACAAACAGAAGACCAGAAAATGAAGTATGTGAAATTTCTAGAGATTGCAGACATTTCAAATAATGGCTGCTATGAACATACATTGCCATTTTAGTTATGCTATGAACATAACTAAAATGGCATCTGAAAGTAGATCTCTAAGCAGCATTTGATGATGTTTAATTGCATTTAGCAATACTTTTTGCATTGATTCAGAATTGTGGTATGTATGTATCCACCGTTGCACTTTTGAATTAACGTATTGGATAGAAAGTGATGAAATTGTAATTAAGAAGTTTAAGATTGATTTTCCCTTGAAAAGATGATAGATGTTGTTTTTAATCAACTACTTTGAGAATGGGAAAACAGTAACAATGGTGTATTATTAAGTGCATTGTTAAGTAACAGGAGTGTATTGTTAAGTGCATTAAGGAGTGCATTTTTACACTGTTTGAAAGAACATTTAAATGTAAAAATGGCCAAAATTGCTATAAAAAAAGTACTGTTTCACCAAGAGACATACTGTTCAATAAATCGTATAATGATAAAAATGTATGAGTTTTACTTTAAATTCATTCCTCATCCAGTCTAATCTGCTCGCTTGTCTGCGTGTGACTTCTTTGTATTTCTAAACCTCAAAATTTGTCTTGATGGGAAGAAATTCTTATCAAGTAAGGATGCAATAATGACATGCAATATTATTTTGCAGCCTCTGACAAAAGCTGCTTTTCTGACATCATGAAAACAAATTCCATATTTGCTGTACCAGATGCCTAGTTCCAAGTGGAAACCTTATAGAGTCTGTGGGTTCTCTTTGGTAGCATATACTGTAGATTCTGTGTAGAAGACAAAGTAGCAAATTCTCGCTATATCTTGAAGAATAAATAATGCAGAAGATTTAAAAAAAAAAAAAAATTGATTTAAACTAAATTGGAACAGATGTACTTACTTGGTGCTCACAAATCACCACCACTTGTAACTAACATAAATTTAACAGAATAAGAATGCAGCATATCATTAATAAATTGAGATATCTAACAACTGGCTCCTTAGCTTAACTAAATGCTAAATCGGCTGCACACAGCACTCGAGCCTAGAAATATTAGTATAAATTGAAAGGTGTCTAGCACCGACTAGTGAGCTAAATTCAAACACACAGCATAAACTCGTAACTAAGTTCGCGACTACTCCTTTTGAACTCTTGAAATGCAGCTTAAATACTGCTTCTGAAACAAGTTTAGATTAGCATCTATGTCACACGTTTAGGTTAGCATCTACGTCATAACAAATTTACATTGTGGCAGGAAACTGAAATCAGGAAGGAAAGGAAAGTCAAACTAAAAATAATTGGTTAGAATAAGTCCTTACAACTTATCAAGAAATAATATTTTTCCTTCCTGAAAATCTATGCTTAACTTATTTTTTCACCATTATGAAGCAATCTTCCAGGAAAATTTTTTATTTAGATGAAAATTTGAAACCTTTCTCACAAGCACTTGTAAGAGGAAAAGGTTATGTCTGTCATTGGCTTAAGTCTTCGGTACCTTAAGTTTGGCCACCTCTAACCCAGTTTTGTTAGAGATACTCCCCCTCCAGTGGATTTATCTGAGGGTCTTCTACTGCTTTTCTTATCACCAACTTTTCAAGAGGATTTTTACTTTCATATTGTTATTCCTTGACAGTGTTTGAAGTGCCCCCGTACTGCAAGAGCACCATACATTTACAAACATCCATGTTTTCACTGATTTCATTTCAAACATTCATTGCTCAAGATTATGGCAGCCAGTTTTTCTATCACCACTCCAACAGGACAGTGGTGTATCAGGTGCTAGATAGGAATTTCGAGACACTAATTTATTCTAAACAGATAGCTGTATCAGTATTAACTGTACCCCCTCCTGAAGGTGTTCATATCTGACAGTTGTGAAAGAAACATATAAATTTTTAATTCAGATTTAAAAGGTTCATTCAGATGTCAGTCTCAGCCAAGGCTATTGACTGTTTTTCTTACATCCTAATAATAGTTTAACAGTTTCCAACAATCCTTCTCACAATAAAATAATTTCCAACCATTTTACTGTTAATTTTTGCTTTTGTTTTCAATTTATAAATTCATAATATGGCCTGCTTTGCTATAATTTAACATATTTAACCATCTATGTGGTGTGGGTTATTTGATCTGTCATGAAGACTTGTAGTTAAACAGCATTTATTAATTAAATTTGTACAATTATGTATGCTAGTCTCTAGTTTCATAAACTTGCATTCATCAAGATGATACTGATATTTTTCATAAATTATTATATATAAATTCAAAATATCTTAAATTACGCGCTAACATGTGAAAAGTCACAAAAAATCTCATGACTGGATAAATCTGGTTATGGTACTCCGAGCGTTAATTAATTTATGTCAATCTTAGCAGCAAATGGGCAGGATTACAATTTTGAAAGTCCTTTTTATTGTGCACTTTTTCATATATATATGTTAATAATTTAAATCTGTTGAAGTTGGAGATTATGCTATACAGTATTACTGTTATTTATTTTTAGCCCTACAGGCATGTTGACAATGTTGTTTTTGAGAATCCATTCCTTGTAGAAAGATTTTTAAACTATTGGCGGTGTACAGGAAATCAAAGAATAGGACTTCTGTATGGCTATTATGAACCCCATAAAGATGTACCATTAGGAATAAAAGCTACAGTTACTGCTATATATGAGCCTCCACAGGTGATTATAATTTTTATTGCATATTTAGATGGTACTTAAAATGTGTTTTTTAATTGTTAACTTCATTTCCATTGTTAGCTGTATATGAATGATTAGATATATTAAGGTCAAGCAACATTAAGGCCATGAATGAGTTTCTTAATTGTATGTTTATAAAATTTTATGTTGTAATGAAGTGATACAAAGAGATTTTCATCTTGATATATTTTGTATGTATTTTAATACATATTTAAAGTAATGGATATATGTGTATAATTTAAAATATTTTTGTAAAATGAGATTTTTTTATGATTCCCCCCCCCCCCAAGAATGAAATGTTATAAAAAGTATTTTTTGAAAGCTGTTTTAGTTGTAACAGATTGTCTAGAATGTAAAATATTATGATAAAATGTATTGGAAATAATTACATTTAAACGCGAGATTTCAATTCATTGGTCTATATTTATTGCATCCTCTTCAAAGTAATGGCTTGATACTGCAATGCACTTATGTTAGTTTTTTTGGTGGGGGGGGCATTAATCCTTTAAACATGCCGTAAAGTCACTTTCATGAGACCCTTTCAGGACCCACAATGAATTTTCTTTTATTGCATCACTAGACTCGAAACAATGAACACAAAATAGCAGTTTTAATTGGAAATAAGAAGTAATAACTTACAATTTAAGTTGCTTCATGTAATTGCCATAAAATATTCAAGCTATTTTTTGTTAACAGTTTATTCATTTGGTAGAAATTCAGGATGCAGGACAATTGGAGAAAATAGTGAATATTATGTTCACTTTTGATCGACTTTTGGATGAGCTGCCGTGCTTCAGTGTTCACTTGTTTATTAAGCTAGCAGGAGATTATTTGTTGAGCACTCAAATTTATCAGAATTATAGATCCATGTTTCATCCTTGATAATAATGTGTTATAAGAAGGTCGCCTTGAGAAATCCTCTTGTAAGCCATTTGGAAACACCATGCAGTTTTTGGCAAAAATTTGGTTTTTGTGGAACAGTTTGTAAAACAGTGTACCACAAGCCCGGATGTGGATTGCATATTAGATTGTAGTTGATCTTCAGTGCATTGTGTGCCTTTCTTGAACATCTTATATTATGCATTCCCCAAAAGCATTCTGGCAAAATGACACCGTCTTATGATGTGTGCAGAAAAATTTAATAAAAAGACAAAGCTGCAACCTTGCTTTATTAGATGATGCCAAGTCACTGAACAAATGGATAATCAGCAGTCAGAGAGCAAGGGGCTGCTATATTCTTCAAGAAGCATGGCATTGGTATTGAAGATGGGCTATTTTTGCATGGGCTACACTGTATCACTCAAAAACTTGTTTGGGGGCTCAAGAGGGTAAAGGTTTATCCTCAAATTCCCCCTCCCCGTGTTTTTTTTTTTTTTTTTTGCAACAGATGAGAATTTTTATTGCAAAAATTGTTGCAAAAACAATATTTAGTACATATTTTTCTCTCATTGACATTTAACAACTTGGAAAATTGCCAAAGCAAAAAGTCTTCATTCCAATAATAAGAATTTATTTGCAAATGGTAAAGGGAAATGATATACAAATAGTTTTCATATATTAATGAAAGTTGTAATAATCGCTCAAAAGACTCCAGAAGCAATTTTTTGCATGTATGCATTTAAACTGAACAATTCTTTTTTTTTTAATCATAATATCATAGTTTCTTAAACAAAATTGATATTTTGGGAAATAAAAAGTTAAAAGATAAGTTGAGAAATCTGCGCCCCCGCTTCTGATGAAGACCTGTTAAGTTTAATGTTAAAGGTGAATAACTTGAAAGTGAACTTGTTTTATCATTTATTACATAAAAAATTTCAATTTCATGAGATTAATTGTTTTAACTGATAATTAGTTACGCTTATGAATTTGATATATCAACATATTTATATGAATATGTTTTTCTGCTTATTCTAAATTTTGGTTACTAAAAATACTCATTTATTACTTTACTGCTTTAGAATGGGTCCCGTGACTTTTTACGTCTCTTTCCCGACCAGAAGGCACAAATTGTAGATAAAATAGCTGAGGCTTTGGGTTTAGTAAAGGTGGGGTGGATATTTACTGACCTTATAGCCGAAGATTTACAGAAAGGCACAGTAAAACATATTAGGAATATAGTAAGTATTTTATTGTTTCCAGTTTTCATAACTATGTGATTTTATTTATAATAATTCCCATAATTTTCTGTCATTAAAATATAAAATTATTGATTAAATATTATTTCTTAATGTTTATGTGTGCTTGTTCCAACAAAAATTCTGTTTACATTTTGCCATATTGAGATGAAAATGAAGTCCATCAACATGAATGTGAATTTAAGCATTCAGATCTTATTAAGTGTTTATTATGAGAAGCGCTGCATGTATTTTAAAATAAATATTGAGAATCTGCCTTTTTTATTTATATTGTTTTCTTCCTGCAGGAATTTCAGAAAAAATTAATTCATAAAATTTAGTGCAATTCCTATTAATTTTGTTTGCATATGTATCATGGTATTTCTCTTAAAAGTATTGTATTTTTAATAGACTTAATAATTTAATGCTGTAGAAATTGGTGTTCAAACGATATGTATGATTGATCTGATTACAAGTTTTTCCCAGTGTCTAAAAAAGATGTTATTTCACTTTGCAAAGAAACGATCATGTCTTGGTAAAAATAAAAAGATAGGCTAAGTGTGCAAAAGATAATTTATTTACCCAAGTTATAATATAGATTGTTTGCTAGGTAAACAGAGTGAACATTTAAAAACAGTTACAGCATATGTCTGATTTTACACACCCTTGTCTTTCAGTAACTGCTGACTGCTAATTTTTTGCCAAGCTAAGATTCCAAAGACTGTAGCCATTTTTAAAAATGGTTGCAGTCTCGCTAAGAGTACATAAGTTACATAAAGAATATTCAACTAGGGATTAAATAAAACACCAACCAATGAATAATAGAAAAGCGAGAAATATCATATTCTTTTAGGGGGGTAAGTGTGCTGTTTTTCCCATGTACACAATAATCTCTTCGAATCACAGAAACTCCATCATGCCTAATTTGGCATGTACACGTTATCATTCTCCCTATGTAAGCAGGATTTGCTTAAACACATCAGAGAATAGCACAAATTTTGGAATTAGCACACAAATTTTGATCCAAGGAGCTCGATCATTTAAAAACTACATTATTATTATTATTTTTTTCCTTTCTCTGTTGTTGGGCAAAATCCCATATTCCTGAAGAAATGCAACTCTATTTCATTAATAAGCAAACACCAAAATCCTTACAAGAATTATAATTTCTTGCAAATGTATTTGAATGCAACAAAAATAAACACCAATCAGAAATATGACCATTGAATTTGAAGGCGGAAATCGGCTCTTATCTGCTCTGCTCATGCATACCTGGGTTGCCATACTCATAAATAAAAGGAACTTCATATGCTGCATGCAGTATATTTCTGTTGCTGATTTTATCTGTAATTTATGTTCATCTGCTATGAAGTTATTGATAGTTTGAATTTGATCTCCTGAGTTTGTGATTTAGTTAGCTCTAGGAATTGGTTTTCATAGGCTGATGGTATGTTACAGTATGAAATATATTGATTGGTCTGTAGAGAGCTCAGAATCATGTTTTTTAGAACTAGCATGCTAAATGTATCTACTTGGATTCTCATCTTTTTCTGTGTGAATTAGAATTTTGGTAATTTATAGCTGATAAATCCACTGTGGAGGAAAAATATATATATAACAATTATATATACATGTATACATATATATGAATATATATAATTGTTGATTATCATTGTACTAGAATTTTGTGCATCGATTTTAATGCTGTGACATTGGGGTTTGAAGTTGTTCACGACAGCAAATATTGCTTTTTAATTTACTATTAGTAAATTTATTTCTTCATGAATACTTAAGATTTTGTAAGCATTCATAGATATTTTTTGTTTTTGGTCAGAATAATTATAATGAACATTTCACTTTTTAAGTCCTGTCTTTTTTAACAGCTTGAAGAGGTTTTATTTTCTGTTTCGATCAAATTGCATCCTAAATAAATAGATGGTATTACCAATGAGATAAATAAGATCTGCTGTTATCTTTGATGTTATGAAGCATCAAGTTAATTGATTGAAAAATAATTTTAGTCAACTCTTGATTAACCACATTGCAGCTTAACTTGGCCCCCCCCCCAAAAAAAAACCACTCTTGCAAGAATCATCAGCAGACACGCTAGTGAGAGAGAGAAAAGAGTTGATATGAAGCTACACTTTATGACTTTTCAGGCTTATTCCCCCTTCTGCCTTTCCTCTTTCCAACATGTGTCTAACAACCTGATTGCAGATACAAATTCCTTCCTGTGTCCTGTCCCCTTCCTTATAACTGATAATAGACATGCTCTTAATTTGGTGATAGAGTAATTGAAGAAATTCTTGTTGGTGAATAATTTTTTTACTTTCACTGAAATAGGAATTGCTATTTTTAGAACTCGTCAGATGCATCAAGGGAAAGCTTAGATTTTATTTTTCATTGACAAGTGGTTGTGAATTACTGTAATCAGTATTCTTGCAAAATGTTAGGAAAATAAACGAAAATGCATTGCTTTTTCCATTCATCAGAAGCCTGAAACGGTAACTAAGAATGGATCAAGCTTGAAATTAGTGTCTTTGCAGACTGTGCATGATTTGTTAAAGAAAAAGGATCAACTTATATGGTTTACATGTGCATCTGATTCTGCTGTGGAAATGAAGGAAAGGAAAATAATTAAAAAAATCCATCTACTAGGTCTTGGATAAAGCCATGCTGGAGTGGTTTAGTCAGTAGATAGCACAGGGAAACCTGATAAATGGGCTGACTTGTGCAGAAAAAACTTAAGTATTTTTTCAGGAATTAGGACAGGGAAACCTGATAAATGGGCTGACTTGTGCAGAAAAAATTTAAGTGTTTTTTCAGAAATTAGGACTTGAGGGCGAATTTTGTGCATCATAAGGATGGGGCTTACGCATTTCAAGCAGCGACATGGTATTCGAGAGCTCCAAGTGCACAATAAACTTTTGAGTAGGGGTTAAAATGCATAAAGAGACATGCAGTGATTTTTAAAAACTTGATCAAGATTGAAAATTTGCTTCCAAAGCAAATATATGTGTTGATTAGTCAGGATTATTTTGGAAATGCTTGTCAACAAAGACTTTCGTGTCTGAAAAAGAAAAAAATACTCTTGGTCACAAGATCAAGAAAACTCGTGCGACTATAATGAATGAATATGCTATAATGAAGTGCTCGTACATGGTAGGAAACCACAGATTGAAACTTCTTAATATTGGAAAGGGGGGGAAATTAAGGTCTTTTAAACGCATGGAAACAACCAGCTTAACAGTGCACTATTTCAACCAGAAAAGGGATGGATGAATAGATTCATATCTCAGCAGTGGTTTGATACAAAATTCATACTGTAGGTTACAGACTTTTTAAAATCACAGGGCCTTCATGAAAGAGCACTGTTAGTTTCAGACAATGCACCATTCCATCCAAGTGAATTGACTCAAAAGATGAACATTTTTTTGTAAACTACTTGCCGCTTAACATGACATACACCAATGGACTACCATGTTACATAAATTGATCGAGAAAAATCCTAATCTTAAAAGTTTTGTGAAAAATTTTCAGTTTTGCATGCTTTCTAGGAGAGTGCAGCCTAATGCGTAATTAAGCAACTCCTGTATGCTGAGCTAAGTGAGTGAAATCTTCCTATGAAACTTTTGGCAGGTTGCTGCTAAATTTTGCATACACATGTTGTTCTTCAAACTGTTTCATTGCTACTTTGGCATTAATCTGATGAACAGCTTGTGCATGTGTTTACTTCAGTGTCTGTAGCTTACCAACTAACTGTCAGAGCAAAATGTGGCGAATGGCAGTCTGTTGTTTAAACCTGCTGCTGTATGCATTCAGTGGCCCCCAGCGCTTTCCCTCTGCCAATTAGCATGCTATTTAAAAAATTAAATTTCCTTTTGAACACACCTCGTATGATTATTTCATTTTGCCTGAACAAGACTGCTTGTTGCAACACTGTTGAAACAGTGTCACATGAAAATGGCATTAATTTCTAGTTAACTAAATAAATGTATTATTGTCTTAAAAAATTAATTTTTTATTAAATAAGTGTCAAGAGTCTCCAAGAGGTTTTGATTGTGATGAAATATTGTCATAGCAGTTGTTTCTCCCTTCCTATGGCTTTTCCATTTCGACTTTTGGCCATTTTGGACAAGTGTCTCTGCCATTTTGAACAGTTTGTTTTGAAACATAATATTTTATAATGTAAATCTTTAATTTTATGGAGATTAGTTCTTGAACTAGTAGGCCTATAGTAACCGTGTAGCTTAAAATTTTAGTATTAAACTGAAATTTGCTAATCGAACTCTTGTATCTCTTTAGTCTAATAATTTTTATTTATTTTTTTTTATTTGTTCCCCCCCCCACTAGTTTTATTAAATTGTAATAGAAAACTCTTGGAGAGTAATTGTAATAGAAAACTCTTGGAAACTCTTTTTGGACTCCCTCTTTTTTTTTTAAATGTTTTCTTTATAAAATCCCAGCAGCCCATCCCTAATTGTATAATTTAAATAAAAGCCAGTTTCTCGTTGCTGCATGAAAGCATGCTTTTATAGTGTGTTCCCCCCCTCCATAATTAAAGAAGTACGTTCATCTGAGCAAATTGTTAAAAGTTGTTCATGGAAAATCATGTGTGCTCTTCATGTTAGATAATGATTTTCATCCCCAGTAGTCGTAAACATATGCCCATTATCTTCTTTTCCTAGATATCATTTTTAGAGGCTGAAAATCTTGAATACCTTTTTCACACCCTTATATAAATCAAGATCTTAAATTTATAATATTTCAAATGAACTAAAAAAGAAGTGTGTTTATATTTATGAGAGAATGGGAGAGCTGTTTGTAAGTTTAAAAAAAATACAATGTTCATGACATTGTAACTATGTTCAGTGCAAATTTATGGTTATTATTTTATTAGAAATGATATGCTTCTCTCTTATAGAATTCACATTTTCTAAGTGCCCAGGAATGCATTATGGCAGGTTATTTTCAAAATAAACATCCAAATCCATGCAAGTTATCACCAGATGGATATTTTGGCTCTAAATTTGTTACAGTATGTTTTACTGGTTAGTATGCATAAATTTTGAGTATGATTTTTTTTTTCAAACATATTTTGACTGGTGAACTGCACATTTTTCTTTTTGATTTTTAAATTGTTGTTCATTTTGCAATATTTATTTATTCATTGACATTTTTTAAGACTGTTAGAAGTTTTACATTTACAAATTTTATTACTCTGTATTAATAATGAATTTATTAAAAAAGGCCCCTCCTTTTTTTATTTTTCTTTTTCCCTTTATTTTTCAACAAGATATTAAAATGTCTTGTAATGATTTTAATTTTGTAATTTTATTAATTATTTTAAGGAGCCATAATTATATTTAATTTCTGTTTAATGTTAACTTCTTCGCTTTTGACGTCAAGGAAATGAAGCTCCTTCATGTGTCTGCGATGTTGGATCGCTAAGGGCACTGTGTGCCCAACATATTTCACGGTTAAACCTAACCAGCAAAAATAAATTCTATAAAACCTGCTTTTCATTCTTGCCTATTCAAATGTTATTTCTTATAAATACAAACAGAAATTTTAATAACTAAAATAAAAATTCAAAGTAAATTCATGTGCAACATTATTAATAATGATTATATTTACATATTTAAAATATTCATATGTAGCCATTTGTTATTCTACAAAATCGTAAATGCAACTATTTATCAAACAAAAAAGAATACGTAGATGTAATGCATCTGCGCACATGATCCTCGTGAAAGACGAATTCATTAGGGTTGCCACAATTCTTCCACCTTTTGAGTGGATGGCTACACACTCAAAACATAAAACTTACATCAATATAAATGAGGGTTATATAACAAAGAAAATTACTTAATACTTAAATCATATTACTTGAAAACAAAATTAATACTGAGGAATAATACAACAATAATAGCACAAAAAATAAATCATAATAACTAAAGACATGAATTACATTATTCGTGATTTTACAACTCTACCACTACTGGTGGTGAAAGGAACTTGCTCATTTTGAGTATTATCTATTATATTATCCAGTTCCAATCTAAACAATCTCTGTATTGGTCTCAAGAACTCTGAATTATTGCTTTTTACAAGAGCAACTCTTATGTTGCCATCTCGACCAGGGATCACCCGAATAACGCGTGCTAAATTCCAATATGCACGGTTTTTATTTTGATCCTCCAGCAAGACAATTTCTCCTACAGAGAGAGGTTTATTTTTGTAATTTCTGGTAGACTGCTGTCTTAACTGCCCTAGATACTCAGAGCGAAATCTCACTCTTAACAATTCTCTCATTCTCTGGAGATACTTCGCTCTTCTACTCAATTTTTCTTTGTCCACATTGTCAATATCAGGTACACCCGACTGTGGAGTTTCATGCAGAAATTTTTCTGGAGTTAAAGGCAAGGGATCTTCAATATCGTCAAGACACGTACGTAAGTGGTCTTGAGTTGACAATTTCTTTCACAATCACACAAGGTGGAGAATAACTCTTCATAACCAAGAGAAGCACGACCTAAAATTTTTCTTAATATTTGTTTTATAATTTGTATTAAACGCTCCCACCATCCACCCCACCAAGCGGCGGATGGAGGATTAAATTTCCATTGTATTCTTTTTTCAGCAGCCTTAGAGCAGAGGCAGTCCCAGTCAATGGTTTGCAGAACTCTCTCTGCACCCACAAAATCCATTATCGGAATATATCCCAATATCGGAATATGTGGTGGTAGGGTGGTGGAATATATGGTGGTAGGGCAACCACGACTTGCGATAAAATGCCTTTAAGCCTGAAAAAATGATTCAGTTGTTAATGAGGTAACCAGTTCCATATGGATAGCATGATAAACTGCACAGGTGAAGAGCACAATATATGATTTTCGTCCATCCTTTAAATGCAAGGGTCCTGCAAGATCACATCCTACGATTTCAAAAATGGCTGAATCACGAACCCTATCATTTGGTAAAACGCCTGGGACTGTCTCACCTCTTTTAGCCTTAAATCTCTGACATGTTACACATTTTCTTATACAGTTCCTTATAGTTTTACGTGATTTTAAGATCCAGTATCTTTCTCTTAAATGCGACATCAATAATGTAGTACCTGCATGCAACAAATCTTTGTGTGCACTTAATATCAATAATTTGACTACTGGATGTTCAGAAGGTAATATGATGGGGAACTTAAAGCTGCTAGAGTCGTCACGATAAGCAACATTAGACTTAGCTCTTATTAGACCCTGGCTATCGACGAGTGGTCTGAGTCATCTTACCTTATCATCTGTTTCACAATTAAACGACTCTTTTTGTATTAATAACATTAAAGCTATTTTCTCCCCTTTCTATTTCAGATACAGTCAAATCCTTAGAATGGTTGTTATTATTATTCTTACGTACATTATTATAAAATCTGAATATCCATGATAACATTCTTACAATTTTCTTAAATGATGAGAAATACTTATAGTACCATCCAATACAATTATCACTCTTTGCCAACGTAACAATAACTGTCTTACGTATTTCTGAATTAAACCAAATCCTCATCTGGTTCATCATTAGATTTAGGCCAATTTGCCTCATCTTCCCGTAACCAATCAGGTCCCTTCCCACCATTTTTCGTTCTATTAATTGATCTGCATAACAACCTCTAGAAAGTAGGTCAGCAGGATTGAGACTACCAGGGACATGTCGCCATACAGTGGGGGAGGTCAACGACCTGATTTCCTGTACACGATTAAAAACGAATGCTCCCCAACGTTGATTTCGCCGTATCCAACTTAAAGCCGTCGAGGAGTCAGTCCAAAATCTGAGACGAACTTCATGTAGGCCAATATCATTAATAACTGAAGTCAATAACCTAGAACCAATATTACAAGCAAGAAGTTCTAATTGAGGAATCTTAATAGGTTTTAAAGCCGCTACTCTCGATCTTGCGTGTATCAAATTAACCTTTACCTTTTTGCCACTGTGTACTCTTAAACAGACGCATGCACCATATGCACTTTTACTACTGTCACAAAAAAGATGTATACTCACAGCTTCATTAATAGATTTGAGACCTACTCATCTAGGTATTTGGATACTGGATAGCAAGTGCAACTTTTTACGCCAAAACTTAATTTTTTGGTTAATTCATCGGGAAGAACATCGTCCCGTTTAAGCCTTAAATTCCAAGTTTCCTGTAAAGTTAGTTTTGGAATCAACATTACAGGAGCCCTATGTCCTATAATGTCAAACACCTGATGAGCTACTGCTGACTAGTGTTTTAGTAATTGGGACATCCAATTTTATATCTTGACTTATTTTGCAAGGTTAGCCATAATTATTTGTGATTCATTTACAAACTTTCTCATTTCTATTTCTGAAACCATACTTCATTCTGATACTTATTTTACTAAACCTCGTCCAAAACGTCAACCAGTTTCAGGGGTCTCCATCGAACTTCACCAGTTCGATCTCTGGCAGTTTGTTTTGCGGCTTTAACTATTCCTGATGAAGAATCGCTATTCGTTGAACCAGTAGAAGACTGTGAACACATCCTTTTTCCTGTTGACTTTTACTTTCAACGTAGATAATTTATCGTAATATTCTTGAGCTGCACTAAATTCCCTCTCGTATTCTTCTTGAGTACAGCCTTTTTTCTGTAGAAGTTCTAAAAAAGAGTCATCCGTATTTCTTAAAGTTTTATACTTCTCTGAAATTTGATCCAAAGAAATTTCTAAATTGTCCAAATCCGGAGAATCTGATCGTATCAGTTCTTCCAACTTATTAGCTGTTTTTGTAAATGCACTCTTAATTGCTTTCTGCTTCTGTTTTAGTATTTCTAAATCCTCCATATTTGCACCTAGGAACTTCTCTTATTTTCGTAAATTATCAAGTGTCGAAATCGATAATGTCACTCTGTGACATTCATGCTGGCTAGGTTCACCAATTTTGTTGCTTAATAAGTAATTTAATCGAAAATCTGAGCCGACACTTTTAAAAAACCAACATTTATTTTTCACACCATTTCTTATTCTACAAAATCTTAAATGCAACTATGTATCAAACAGAAAGGAATACGTAGACGTAATGCATCTGCACACGTGATCCTCGTGACAGATGAATTCATTAAGGTTGCCACAAATAAATACCATTCTTAATAACAAGGACTTACATTTAAGACATTCCATTAAAAGTTTTAGCAGCATTCTGACATGATTTGTGTGTATTTAAAACTTAAAATAAATATCAGTATGATACAGTATATATACTAGTGATATTTCCTTCCCATATCCGAGGGGGGGAACTGAAGCTTTTAGTTTTTAAATTTTCTTACTATGACAGACAGCATGCTTGCGGTTAGCTCATTGGTGATTTCCATTAGTCTTTCTAATTATATCCTCTTTTTTTAATTTATTATTATTATTATTTGTTTTACCATGATTGAAAAAATGGGATTATTTCCTTAATTTATAATTGTTTGGACTTTATTTAAATTCTGAGTCATTATGTAATTAATTTTTTTCTATATTTTGATCATACTGATCTTTTTTAAGCTGCAAATGAAAATGGGTCACTAAAGTCTATCACATACTGCTTTTGTAAGCATGTTTTAAGTGTTTACATATATATAATCAAGAGAAAATAATTAAATCATGAAAGGGAGCAATTCTCCAGCAGGAAATATTCAAACTAAAAACTAAAGAAAATAATATAAAGCAGAAACAAAAGTAATTCAACAAAATCAATAAAACGCAATAAATCAATATAAAATATATGTTCAATTAATTCTGCTGCATATTGTATGATTTTAATAATATGTATCATCTTAATTTGAAAGTTCTCAACTTTTTTTTGTGTATGTGTATACACATACGTAGACATATGTGTAAGTAGAGATATTTTTTTTAGAAGAAATAGAGAAAATTTTAAAAGTTTATTTTTCAGTATGATGTCTTCATACCTGGATACACTGTTCTCATCATTTCATGAGTATCTCTCTGTTTCTGAAAAAGTAAATCTGAAGGTTTGTCCTCTAAGTGTCCCATAACAGCACTTTTCATATCATCATTAAATCTCTTTCCACAAAAGTAAAATTCAGTTTCGAGAACAATCACGGAATGCAAACCTGGCTGTAGGAGAGTTTATCGAACTTCTTAAAATTTACACTGCCATTTCAAAATTTTTGAAAAAGAAATCGGTTACCCATCTGTTCCCAGTCTCTTGAAGAAACTTTGTTCATGCAAAAATAACCATATAGAATGCACAAAATTGTTTTAGGTAGATCCCATTTTGCTGCTATATTGACATTTAATTTTCTGTTACTCAGTATTTCCTTTTAGACAGAGTAGTGTTTTCTGATGTTAGTGCCTCCAGTGGTTGATCTTTCACAAGAATTATCATCAATAGATTCCCAGTACATTCAGAATTGTTTTACCCATTCACGTTTTTAGATTAAAGATCTTTGCTAAAAAATTTAAACACAGAACAATACCCAATAAGCATTTCGGAGCAATGTAGCATGCAGCTGCATTCACTAAACAGTCAATGCATACATTTTCTCCTACAAAACTTTCAAATTTATTCACTTAGTGTTGCTGCTATAAGTCTGCAAAGGGAATTTATTGTGGAATAATTTTTGTAATTTGTAAGGCCAGAAACTTTTAAATCTGACTATGTGTATAATCACATACACTTGATAATAAAAAAATTAGAAATGCAGTGATAAAAAATATTACTGGTGTTTTCTGATAAAGTGAAAGATGCCTGAACATGCACTTGAAAATTTAATAGAGAAACATCTAAACATACTAGAAGTGCATCACAATTTAAAAACTGAACATATGTGCCTGCTATAATCAGAGATGTATTGTAGACTCAAGACTATTGGATTCTCCCATGTAAGTTCTGCATGCCCACTATATCAGTAATCTGTGGAAGATATATTGATCAGTTATTGCACTATTAGCCAGGAAATGGCTCCGTGTGCCATTCATGAATAATTCAACATAAACTGTATTGATTGTTACTGACTGAATTACATTCATATTCAGTATCTGATCCCAAAGAATGTCGGAAGTAGACAGTACAGCGCATACTGCGTGTCCTGGTGTACAAGTGTTTATGCCACTGATAAATGCATAGTCAGGTATTGCATCATAGTTGCTGCCAGAAATATCAAAATTAGATCTGAGTATAGCAGCACTCAGTTGCATAAAGTAAATGAATCCTATCCCTTGCTGTTATATACTGATGGGAGAATTTTTAGCCCGAAAGGGAAGGGGTGTTAGCCCAGAATGGTTATTAATCTGAAATGGCATTTTGTTACCACTAAATATTATTGCCCTCTATTATATTTAAAGAAATTAAATAATGAAGAATCTGCATGAATGCATGTATGTGTCCTCCCATTGTGAAAAAACAATGCCACTTAGAGCCATCAAATTTTGAATAATCCTCCACCCAAATATGGGCACCTGGAAGCCCGAATTTTGAATTTCAAATTTGTTTTATTATGTACTTCATATTTTCTAAAACTTTTAACAAATTTTGAATTGAAAACTCAATGATTTCAAAGCAAGCAGTGGCAACACTGCACGGAATAAAACATTTTTATTTCCAGCATGCAAAACTGTCTATCAGAAATTATAAAGATATGCTGTTTTTAAATATTTTTAGCCCAAATGTTTTTGAAACATGTATGTGTGTGTAGTCGTAGGGGAAGAAAAAAAAAAAAAAAAAATTGTGCCTTTTGCCAAAATATAAAATCTGAAAGCTTTCAGATTTTTTGTTTGTTATAAAAGATTTTTAACTCACCCTACCCAATTCATCCAGTTCAAGGCAAATGTGACATATCTTTGAAGTATAAAAAGTATTTTGATGGAAAATGGTAATATGATTTAATGTATTTCAGTAATTCTCAAATGCTGTATACACTAGCAAAATCTGCTTAACAGACTTTAGTTAGATAATGAATCATTTCAGCAGGCCACTACCATCCACACATAATTTAAAGTATGCCATTTGAATTCTGTAATCTCCAAGATCCCTAAATTTAATTATGATCCCCTAATTTAATAATATTATCCCCTAATTTAATCATTATGCCTTTCTGCAATGTTTTTAATGAGTTAGTAAAAAACCATTATCTAAGTGGAATTGTAGATCTTTCATTTTTCGCTGTGAGTATTTTTTGATGATGTCTTCAAATAAAAATTGATGGATATATATATATGGCTCATTTTAATCAAATATTAATTTATGCTAAAGTCATAGAGTAATTTTTATTCGTGTTAAAGGTTGCTGTATATATTTATGTTAGAAAGCATTAAGAATGTGTAAAATTAAAATAAATCAAACAACTTGCTCATTGTGTGTGCCATTTTTGACTCACTGTGAGTCATAATGCTTTGCAGGATTTTAGTTCACCTCCAGACCATTGTAATTCATCCTGTTTTCGCAAAGTAAATGGTGATAAATTTTGATATAAAAATTTTCCCTTTTAATGGTTGATTTTTTAAAAATTTTTTTTTTTAAATTTTTTTTTTTTTTGTTTGTTTGAAAAATATGCTTGTATTTTATTGTTGTCTATTAAGGACATTTGTGTAGCTTAATTGATTTTTTCCAAACTGAAAGGAAAAATTTTCTGTGACGTCTTTGATTGCTGGTTACTAATTTTTATAATGATAGTTACATGGAATAAAATATGTGCCTTTTTTATATGAAATAAAGGTATATTGTAATAGTTTACATTAAATAAAATACCTTCCCCCCTTTTTTTCTGTTGTAGGTGATGCAAATAATCATGCTCATATGGAAGGCTATCAGGTTTCTAATCAGTGTATGGCTTTAGTCAGGGACAACTGCTTACTCCCCACACTAGATGCTCCTGAACTTGGTTACGTCCGAGAATCCAGTAATGAGCAGTATGTTCCAGATGTTTTCTATAAAGTGAGTGTTGTTGGTATTATTGGTTATATTGGTATTATTGGTATAACATATATCCATTATATGTTACTTTATTTCAAGGAGAAATTATATTAATGAAAAAAAAAAGAAAAGAATTAGTAATAACAAGATCCCATAAATTCTGTTTGAGAGTTGGAAAATACTGATCCTGAATCTTTTCATCCTAGCAGAGCAGTATTAATTGTTGAACTAGTCTCAGATTGATTAAGGGGATTAAAAAGTTTGTGTGATGTACGCTGCATCAAAAAAAAAAGGACAGTTCTATATCTCCTGTTCTACTGGGCCGATTGACGAAATTCAACTTGCGTTTTCCATGCCTCGAAAGTGCGACTTAAGGTATGTATTTATATATAGCATTGTTCTAATATAGTACTTTGACACAAAACTGGGCTTTTGCTGAACTAACACACCATTTTTTCCCATATTTTGGTTCTACGACTCAAATTACGCCAAACCACCAAGTTTTGTAAAAATCGCACGAGTAGTTTTTAAAAAATTATTTCTCAAAATTTTAGCTCCTCCTTGTTAATTGAGTTTGGTATATATTTATTAATTTCTCTTTTTTTATTAAATGTATTTAATTCTTCCTTTCACATTTCAAAATTCAGGTTCATTCCAAATAAAATTCACCCATTTTTATGATTTATTTAAAAATAATTTTTATAAAATTTTCAAAAATATTTTTGAATTATAATGTGTAAAATTTTTACCATCATCTTAACCCTTCGAGCATTACAGGTTTAGCCCTGAAATTTCAAAGTTTCTCAAAATGTCATGAATAAATGGTATTTTCTTGATTTTAATTAAAAAATGACTCTCTCATTTTGTACCTTGATTTCTTTTCTTCCAATATTCATCCAAACCAAAATCAGATGCTTTAAAAACTAGCAGAAATTTTCATGTATAATAAATGTAGAAGGCAGCCTTCTGTGCAGAGTTTTCTGGCCGTAACGCTGAGAGGGTTAAAGTAGACGTATTTCTAAACCTACCTGCAAAAAATTAGTTTTTTATTCAAAATTTCCGAAAATATACGTGAATTTATATATTGGCACGTTTTGAAATTTGGCATATTTGTTGAAAGCGATAAAACATCAGATGAGGTATAAACAGTTTGCTAAAATTATTTGAAAGTAGGAAACATGTGACTTTTTTTCGCTCATGCACAATAAAAAGGTAGGAAAGAGGTGCCTTTTTTCTCACTCCGGCATAATGGCAAGGAAAGAAAAATTGGTTGCCATATATTAAGAAGTTTGTCAAGTGAGTTATTCGTTGCGCAAACTGAAAAAATTGCGGCAAAATAAATTTTTAAATTTCTGCGTAAATTTCACACCAAATTTTACAAAATTTAATATCTAGGCATAATTTAAGTCGTTGAATCGAAATATGGAAAAACATTGGTATGTTATTTCAGAAAAAGTTTGATTTTGTGTTAAAATACCTATGCTAGAACAATGAGATGTATAAATCAAATATATATCCTTATATATATCCTTGCTTCGCATTTACAGAGCGCTTGTCCACTCTAGACTGGACTACAGCTCAGTTGTGTACGGATCCGCTCGGTGATCAGTATTGTTAAAACTAGATCCTGTTCACTGTCAAGCTCTGCGGATTTGTTCAGGAGCTTTCAGGACTTCTCCTGTCCAGAGCCTGTATGTTGACTCTGACGAACCATCACTTTATCTGAGGCATGAGCAGTTGTCCCTTTTACAGTATTTTAATATATTATCGCAACCTGAACATCCTAATAAGCTGTGCTTACTTGATAATGCGTGTAACAGTCATTATTTGAAACACGTCCTATCCTGTGTTCTTACCTTTCCTTTAAGAGTTCGCCCTGTCATTGAGGAACTTTCCCTCTCTGATATGCACCCCCAAGCAGTGCAGAACTTTGAAATACCGTCGTGGGAAAATGCATGAATTCAGCTTCTTGATGTTTTCAAACATCACGTGAAGGCAAGCACCAGCGAGATCATTTACAGACAACTCTTCGCTGAGCACAGGCACAAATATAGCAATTATTATCCAATATATACAGATGGATCGAAGTCAAATGATCATGTCAAGAATGGCATTTGTATTTGAAGATTACTTAGAGGGCAGATGCCTGCACCCATGCCTTTTCTCAGTCCTAACATCTGAACTAACTGCAATATATTATTGTCTTTTGTATATCTCAAAGCTCTGCCACAAAATTTTTATAGTTTATACAGACTCATATAGTGCTCTTAAATCCTTGGAAGCTTTTCCCGGCACTCAGAATCCTTTGGTAGTGGATGTTCTCAAGATTCATATAAATTTAACGATTCGAGGATATGAAGTCCTGTACTGCTGGGTTCCTGGGCACGCCGGAATAAAGGGAAATGAGTTTGTAGATATTGCAGCAAAATCTGCTGTTGAACTGTCAATTGCCTCACCCCTTTTAGAGACATCTGCTGTGTCATCAAAGGGAAGATCTGAAAAAAATGGCAGCAAATTTGGGAAGTTCAGCTAAACAAGTTAAAAAATGTAAAGCCTAGAATTGAGCATTGGGATTTTGCTGGAAATTGTAAGGAGGAAGTTCTTTTGACTCGCCTCAGAATTGGTCACATTAGAGTGACACATTATTTGTTTAAATTGTAATGTTTGTGTATCTGTCCGTCATATTTTAATTGAGTGTCCATATTTTAATAGTCTTCGTCAGAAATATTTTAATAGCTGTGACTTACCTCTCGACCGTTTAGTCGGAAGAGAGGTCAATTGTAATTCATTTTATTATTTAAAAGAGACTGGCTTTTATTACTTAATATAATTTGTTTTGAAGATTGTGTCTTGGATTTTAATGTGTGCTTTGAGTTTTTATATGACTTCATCCTCTGGATTTGGTACTTTTGTCCATTTGTTTTTATTTATTGTATTTTAATTTCATCAATTGTAATTATCCCATCTCGGGTTTGGCGTGTCTTGATCATCTTTGGTTTTGCGCCAGTAACCTCTCACTCCCTCATTCACTCTTTTTTTTTTTTTTTTTTTTTTTTTTTTTTTTTTTTTTGCGCAGTATATATAATATTGTAAATGTGTATATTTTATTATACACTTTTCTTATTTATATGCTATTTCTTTATGTGTTATTGTAGCATTATGTCTGAATTCAAATTTTTCTTTAAAAATAAGTAAATCTTTATACAAAATCTGTTTAAATTTTATAGGCCTATACAGGTATTTGTTAGGTACATTGCTTTCTGTTTTGAATTTTTATGACTTACATAAAGTAAGCCAAGAAGATGATACGAAACTTTAAACATAACAGTTGACACTAAAATATTATAAACGGCCATTCAGAGTACATGCTAGGCAGATCTAATGTCCACAGAAAGAAGCATCTGTTATGAGGAGCAAGCAATTAACATTTATGGTACAGTATAGAGTTAATGTTTAACATAAGTTAAATACAGCCATAATTCCACTTTGATTATTTTAAGTCAAACCTATTTTTGCATCATACATATCCACTTTTCTATGGATGGATCAACAGTAATGAGGTTTTGACAGATATTTGGAATTAACTGAATGTATGTGTGCTGAGAAAGTAGAATTAAAATTAAATGGCTCTTCATTACTCATGAACTTTTTTTTCAAATCACATAACACATGTATCTCTCAAGGTCAATATTGTGGGAGGAGCTAAAACTCAGTCTTCGGTACTTCAGTTTGTGCTTCTTGTTACATACTGAAAACCAGCAAGATGGGTGATTAAAAAGTAGTTGTAATTAATTTCTGATGAACTGGGTTTTCAAGGGCAGTCAGAAAAGAAGTTGAATGGAAAAACTGATATTATATTTAATAGAAAAATACTATTAACAGTTTACTGTATTTTCAAGCAGTTTAAAAAGGAAAATAGGTTAATTTAGTTGCATAAATTAAGTCACTGTTTAAAGTTAATTTTTTTTCAAGTGTACATGAGGACCCTCATTCTGTGTTTGTTCATGTCTGTGTTTTTTTTTTTTTTTTTTCTAGTGCTTATTAGTTTAATTTTAATTTAATCTTCTACTGTAATCTTGAATTTTGCTGAGAATTAAGTTTTGGTTCTCAAAATTCAAAAATTAGTTCACAATTTTTAGTTTTGGAGTTTGTCCAGACATCATTCATTAATCAAACTCTGCTGATCAAACTCTCTGATTCTCATGGCTGCTTTTAAAAACAATAAAAAAAATTATCAACTCTGCCAAGTGTTTTTTTTTTTTTTTTTTTTTTTTTTTTTTTTTTTTTTAATTTTATGATTAATGTGATTTGTTTGCTTCTTGTTAGCTTTCTTCGTGTTAGGTAGGTATCCATTCATTGTTCAGCTCATTAAAACGCAGAACTTCAAAACTAAAAATCTATTTTATTCATATTACTTTTATGTTACTTTTCATTTTATTAGTTTTTAATCAAACATTTTTCAGTTTTATTCTCTTTATCTTTATAAGTTATGTATTTCCAGTTAGATTTTTAATGAGGACTTTTTGAAGAAAAATTGTTTTCATTATTGCAGCTTTGACCAGATTAAAATGTTAACTAATTTCAATAAATTTTCTTTCTCACAAGCTAAATTTTAATGCTTTAGAACTGAAAATTTTAATGGAAATTGCATTATTTCCTTCTTACATAGGTAAAAGATTCCTATGGTAATGAAATAATTCAGCTAGCACGACCTCTACCTATTGAGTATTTACTTGTTGATGTTCCTGTCTCTACACCGAATGAACCACAGTTTACTTTCTACGCAGATGCTAGTATCAAGCCATTTCCCGTGGAAAACAGACTTGATGAACATGTTCAAGTAAGTTCAAGTTCCTTCTTACATAGGTTCTTACATAGGTTACATAGGTATGAAGTTCAAGTTCATAGTTTCATATGTGATATTAATATTTTTTAAGTTGATAATATGCTACATTATTATTTTTGCTATGTTATCAAAATGTTGGCTGCTTACATACTGAAGAACTGAGCTCAGCTTCAGTTCCAAACATAAATGACTTAGGTATTTGCCTAAGATATAGTTTTCAGAGGTCCGACCAAGTTGTTCTCAAAGCAGTGATGTTCTGGTGGAGCAACAGGGTAAAATTCTGTAATAATGTACTCTGTTGTTAAGTGTGACAATTGTGGAGGTTATTTTTTAGCATCATCATCTGAAATCTTTCAGTCAGTCTGATTTTCAAAGGTATGGAAAAGTTCTTGACTCATTTATAGAAGTTGAGGCCTTTATACCCTGGATTTTCTCTGTTTTGTTAATAGTTCTGCTTGGTATGTTTTAGCTATTTTCCTGTACACCTGCAGACAGCTTTCCTTTCCCCATCGCATTCATATCCCGATACGTATCTGATAAATGACTTATATTGTAAATGATATTATGTCTGATAAATGATACATATCCGATTCAATAGAATAGCATGCCTGATTTGGAAAGGGCATTTGTTATGTCAGCTAAATGGGTTGTTTGCAAGCTTAGCAAAGTGTCTACAGCTGTTTGAAAGTACTTTGATTGATGCTTGAAATTTGGAATAAATGTTAGATATTAAACTTACATTCAAAACCATTAAAATTTTAAGAAAAAATTGAGTGTTCTAAACCTGCGGTAGGTTTAGAAAAACAGTTTTGAAGCAATTCAGTGCTTCGTTCAGTGAAGCAATGATTTGAGCAGTTTGATATAATACTTGGACCATGTTATAATGTTGTTATAATACTTTGTATGTTATTGAGAAATCATGTTGGAAGTGATGAATGGAAAATTGCAAACGTTTTAAATTTGTTAACTAGAATTGTACAGCTTATGGGATCTTTCAAAGTGCCTCAAAACACCAAAAAATTCTTCTTGCATTCATGTGCATTCTTTACAACACATTTATCCTAATGTGTGGATTGCAGTAATGGAATGTTATTGCTTGACTGTTAACTGGAATATATTAATGTGTTCCACTTAATATTTTTTGAAAAGGCAGGTAAAAAAGATACAGAAAAAATTATTAATTTAGATTATTCATATTAATGAGTGATGTATTAGTTTTCAGAATGAATAAAAAGAACTGCATATTATATAGGAAAAAATCATTAAAATGTAGCATGTTCCTTAAATTTTGTACGCATATGAAACTAAAAGTTTAATTGAGTGATTTCTGAATAGGTGCTAATAGAAAAACAGATAGTAAACATATTGAGTAAAAAAGGCTCAAGCCCTCAAAAATTTTAAGAATTATGTATGCAAATTAATAACCATTGAATAATTCTGATTTTTATATAAAAATGTTAATACATGACCACATTGTTAGATTAAAAATTCAAATCAAAATATGATATTCTTTTTTATATTACTTTTGTGGGAAAAATTACAAATATTAAAAACTGCCTTTAAATATTTAAATATGTTTTCAAGCTCTAAAATTCACTCTAAACTTTTATTTCAAATATTTTCTTTCTTTTTAGGACTTTCCTCATTTGGTTTCATATTTAAGACAGTTTAATTCGGAGCAGTTTCTGGAAGCAATGTCTGATTTTCATTTACTAATATTTATTGCTACAATGGATGTCTTGCCTCTTATGGTAAAAATAGTTTATTATAAATACGTAATTTATTTTTTTATTTGTATTTTTCTTTTCTCTTAAAGTAGCTAGTTTTTGTTCTTTGAGAAATATGTATTATCTCACTCTAAAAAAATATTACATTTAAAATGCGTAAATGTAAATTGAAGAATTAAATGTGAATGCATACAATGCAAAACAAATGAAACATGTTTAGAATACAAATAAAACTGAACTAGTATATGATGATGAAATTTTAGGAAGGATTAGTTTATTGATAATTAGCAGCTTTGCTGCCAGCCTTCGTCTGGCTTTTAAATGTACCGGAAAAATGGCTGAAGGGAACACCAAACATTAAATTTAAAAACTGCGTAGAATTTTACTCTGCAGAACAGCTTCATAAAAAAAAAGTTATTATGTATAACAAAATTACAATAAATAAGCAATATCCCTTAATACAAATATTAATTATCCTAATAAATAAATTAACCAACTTCCTTTTACAAAATATTAAGAACTCAATAAGAAATACAATGAAAAATTGTTGCCAAACCCATATTTCTAAAAGAATGAAACTATTCAAAATGATGCAATTTCATCAAAAATCTATCAACAATAAGAAAAGAAAATTGTTATCAAAATCACATTTTTAAAGATGTGAGAAGTGTACTTGGAAGCTTCATTTAAAATTTTTTTAAAAAATACAAAATATTATCATTTTTCCAAAATTCTTTTTGTAAAAGCAGTCGCAAGGATGAAAGTTTAACGTGTCCAAAAATCAAAGAAAATAAACTATGCCTTTTTTAAATAAACTTTTTTAGAAAAAATCCCATTGAAAGGTTTAAGCTCACTTGTTAAATAAATTGTATATAATTGATTTATTGAAACACGAATTATTTTAAGTTCGTAAAATAGCTAAGTGCCTTTGTTTCATGACAATGTAAAAATGGAGTGTGTAGAGTAAAATCTCGCTTGTCTCAAAATGACGCGATTTCATCACAAAACATAAAATAAAAAAAAATTCGAATTTCGAAAAAATCGCTTTGAGGTGCACTGGCTTTTGTCTAGATGCACCTATGTACCAAATTTTGTACGAGTCTATTAGCTTATGTGCAACGCAAACGAAAGACATACAGATAGACTCTTTCTTTTATTATATGTAGAGATGACAAAGCATGCAGTTTGAAAAAGGAATTGAATGATTCAAGGTGTCGATTTTTGATAATGACAAAAAAACTCCATTCATAACTGATATACTTTATCATTGTGCAAATTTATACTTTCATTTAGATGGTCAGTCAGAGTTTGGAGTAGTTTTTCATTTCATTTATTACATAGGGCATATTACAGTCCTATTATTCTTCAGAGATTGCAGTTAATGCTTTATTCTCTGATCTGAATACATTCACAGTACAAAATTTCACCACACAGAAGAAATGCAGAGCCAAGTCATATTATTAAAAACTACCTATTTAATAATTAATGTAACTACTCCTCTGCAGCATGGGTATTGCTGAGCTACCATGGGAGCAGTGCAGGGAGATTTCAGAAGATTATTACAGGAACCTAAAACCAGGCATTTGAGAGCTAGGGTAAGGTATGGAGTGAATTTCTATGTTCTGAGCATATCTCTTGGAGGTGTCCCAACAATTCCCTGTCGGTTTACAGAATTTGAAGGCGAAGAGCATATATGGAAGTCTTAGTCAATGTTCCTTCAATGAGTCCTTGATTATTATGTTGGATCATGTTATCATATTGGAAGGTTCCTTCGCCATTAGTTAAAGTAACATGTAGAGATGGACAGCAAGAGCATGTGTAGATTAGACTTACATCAGTTCAGAATGCTATCTGATGTATCAGGGAGTATCAGAAAAACATTTCTTTTGACCAGTATGCTGCCATTACTGGCCAGTATTCCATTGATATGTGTTTCCAGCTGATGCCATTCTGGTATAATATGCTAGATATGCTGCTGTCCATTCTCAAAATGGGACATGAATCAGGATTAATTCAAAAAGGCATTCTTTGCCATTTTTCTTGGTCTAGTTTTTGCAATGATATGCAAAAAGGTCTTTTAGTCTATGGACCATCTTGAGCAGCAGTACCAACACTAGGAATCAGCTGCAGAGTCCAGTTATAGAGAAAGAATTTGCTAAAATGTTTGGACTTGCAAAAACTTCCTAGTTCATTTGCATGGTGAGGTGGGGCACAGTTGTGCATCAGTTGGTGGGGCATCAGTTGGTTATTGCTAACTTTCAGTAGCATTGTTCACCTTCGGTGGCTTATGGTGCTCCCTAATTTGATCTTCAGTCTTTCAGAATTGTAGCATTGGCCCTTTTGTAGTATATTCTCACCACAAGTATACAATAATGGTTCAGAAACTGTGGGACTTCTGAAGTGCTTTTACCAGTCCTTAGTGGCCAATAATAATGTGTTTCCCATCATGACTAATATTTCTATGTTAAGCATGCATCTTTCATCAGCCCCTGTATAAGCTTAAAGCTTTAACTTAAAACATGTGCTTTCTGTCATTGGCTGATCCTACATGATGTCAGAGTAAGGTTGGTTCCAGTGTTACCACTCAACCCTGTTAGAAACAAAAGAATTTTAAAATACTTCAAAAAGTTGATGGTGACTTAAAATGGGCATTTTAAAACTAAATAATGTTTCTTTTCCTAGTATTAACTTAAAGCTAGTTTGATCAGTTCTGTTAAAAAAAAATAATAAAGCTATAAAATTTATTTTCATTTGACAGACATATAATTATTGATGTGAAAATAAGTTGCTAATTGTGTTATTTCCTACTTAAAAAAAGGTTAAAAAAGGTCTACTTATAAATTTACATTAAAAATCGAACCTTGAACATCTATTGTGATATGTTTAATAATTTCAAAGAAATTTTGTTATACCGCTTATACGAAATAATATCTAGTAAAGCCACTTACAAACTTATTATTATTAATCTCTCTATTATTCTCTCTCTGAATTAATTATTATTATTATATATTAATCTCTCTCTGAATTGGCTTCTTTTTTTTTTTTTTTTTTTGTTTGTTTACTTGCAATATATATATGTATATATATTTCAAGCTTGTTGTTAATGCTCATATATCTTTTACTCAATTTTAGGATGATATGGGTCCATTGCTAGAAGCTATAAAAAACAAAGATAGAGATCTGGCTATCAATTGGTCAAAAAGTGAACGATGGGCAACTGTTGAACATTTACTTGACGCTGAAGGTATGCATGTCATTACATGTATATTTTAGAATGTTGTCTTTTAAAAAATATGTTCAGTTGTTATTTCAGAGTTATTTGATTATTTCACATGAAGGGTAATGTCTTCTGTTGGTGTGTCACTTCTTATGATTAGTATAAAATACTTTTCATTATTTCAGAGGACTGTTTTATAGTTTATATGAGAGAGTTTCTCTCAGAATTTAGTCTGAACTCATATAGTGTAAAAGGTGTGTTCAAAATAGCGTAGCATGAATTAACCCCTTCGCGCCGACTGTCACGTATACGTGCCAGCAACGAACACACTTACCTACCGGCCGGCACGCAGGCGTGCCAGAAAATTGTTCCGTTCTCTACCGAGTGTCACGTATTTGTGCCAGTACTTTGGAACGTTTTTCAAACTATAATTTCTGCCACAAGATGGCACTGTATGTCCATATGGTTTCAGATACATGTAAATTAGACCTTCTACTCGAAATGAGAGAAGCATGACTCACATACACGTGTTTTTGATTATATAAACGAAACGGGGAAATAAATGTTTCCGAATGGCGTGATTTATGACGTCTCTTTAAATCGCACTTTATTCGCTCGTGGTAGTTGTTTACTGTAAGTAGAGAAGTTTTATTTGCTCTAAAGCATTGGGTATTTCGGTTTGCAGTTCAGTTTTTAGAAAATAATTAGATCTTGTTAGACGTGAATTCTTTGTTTTTACCGTTGCGATGTCGAAGCGTCGAAAATGTTTAACAGAGCATGAAATAGCAGAAATCATGCAAAATATTTCAGATATTGATTCTGAAACAGGTTTCTGATATTCTGATATTGATTCTGAAAGATTAACTGATCAAAACATTTCCGAATCAAATTGATGTTCAGGAATTTCGGAGACTGATAAGAAAATGAAGACGACAAGTGCTTCGTCCATGGTCATCACAATTCCCGGAAAATTTTTTAAAATCCTCCAAAACGGCAAAGGATTTATTACAAGTGCAAGGAATGTAACATAAAACTGTGTGTAGATCCCTGTTTTCAAATTTTTCATACGAAAAGAGAATTTTAAGTAATATATTTAGTTTTCAGATGTATAATGTTAAAATTCATAAAATGGTGAGTAATTAAAATAAAATGTGTAAAATATGCATTTAAACAAGAAATAAGGTAATTAAAGTATATATATAAAAATATTTATAAAGCATAAGCCGTTTAAATACTCTATAGAGCATTATTAAACAATGCGTTGATACTTCGGAAATTTCATGGATTTAGGCTTAGTAGCAAAAGAGCCCCGGCCCTGGAGAGAGGCTCACATAAGACACTGCCAGCCTCAGCGATAAGCGCGCGTTTTCGTTACCCGGCTCGAAGGGGTTAAGATAATTTACCTTAAAATAATGATTGTGTGTGTTTTTAGAGTTAGCCCAACTTTAGTGTACATTTTAACCAGCATTTTTATATGAAACTTCAGTGTTCATGATTCTACAGGTGTTCCAAAAATTGATCACCATTCTCGTCCAAGCATTGCTCCAAACAAAATAATGAAATTGAGCATTAAAATCATTTTGTTTAGTATTTGGGCTCAAACACTGAGCGAATATTTGCCTTCAATTCCCAGGATCCTGTGGTTCCCAGTAAGCAAAATTGTATAAGCTAATTAAACCAATTAATTCAGAAATAGCCTAATCATTAATAATACTTAATACTGCTTTCATCTTGCCATTGTCACTCAGAAAACTGTTTTCTGCAATCCACAGCATCTTTACTGAGAGTATGAATTATTCTTAAAATGTAGCTTTTGTATTTTTAAAATGTAGCTTTTGTAGTGACAGTGCTTTGAAATTCAGTGGACGTTCAATTTTAAAGTATCTTTCTCATGACTCGTTGCCATGTGAATTTTGGTGATTGATGATGATTTGATGTAGCCAGGCATAAATGTTGAATAAAATGCAAAACAAACAATTTCATGTTCTTCAGTCACTATGGCAGTAAAAGGATTTAAGGCAAAAAAATATTAATGGCAATATATTTTGATTAGTGTTTCTCACTTTGTAGTCTTGTCTAATGTACAGTTTTCCAGGGCCTTTCTATTAAATATTCCAAATAATTCCATTTCTGCTTCAAAGATATTTCTAATGTCATTAATGATAAGTGGGTTTGGCGTGAATATATAAAAACTAAGCTGTCTCTGCCCTTCAGTTGTATTTTCAAACTTCCATAGCACCTGAGAATATTTTTTTTCTTCTCCCCCCCCCTAAAGCTTAGTCTGGTTCCATCCTTTGTTTCAAATTTGTTAAAGCAGTTAGGAATGAAAACTAAATGAAATACCAGCCAATGTATGCATTCTTCGAAATACCGTGTATGAGAAAATAAGCATTTTGCTTTTCAACAAGAAAGGCGCATAAGCTCAAAATATTCTGGAAATATTGTACTAAATCGAATGCTTACCCATTGGTATCAGTGCATTGCTATTTATTTTGTAAGAATTGTGGTGTTGCATATTATCCATGAACCTATTGCCCCTGGGGTTGTATACACTTAGTATTATACTATGATAGTAATGACTGTGGGGCACAAAATACATGGACCTGGTTTCTGGTACCAAAATGAGTAGTCAATACTGTCCTGGAAAGCATGGACCCATCGTCGAAGAGTTGAAAGATTGGCCCCCCAGCTTGTGATTCGTAAAAGTGGTATTCCTTTCTGCCCTATTGTATCAACTTTAGGCACTGCCTCGTACCCGTTTGCTAAATATTTAGTTTCTAGATTTTCAACTCTATTAGATAATAACATTTACACCATGAAAAATTCAATAGAGTTCATAAAAAATAAAAGCATTTCTCCTAGAAATTTACTCATGGTTTCTTTTGATATAAAACCATTATTCACCAGTGTTCCAGTGGAGGGTGCATTAAGATATCTAGAAACCATACTTCGTGAATTTCATTTCTCCTGCATCGAAATTGATGGGATAATTTCCCTCATTCAACTCTGTTTCAAACAAATGCATTTTGTTTTCTAAAATAAATATTACAAGGAAACTGAGAGGATTAGCCATGAGAAGACCCCTCAGTCACATCCTGGCTGATATCTACATGCATTATTATGAATCAAAATTGTTTGAAACTTTAAACTTCCCGGTATGGTTCCGGTACGTAGACGATACTTTTACCCTGTTTGAAGGTAACAAAGATGATTTAAATAAAGTTCTTTGAACAATGAATTCTACTGATCCTGCTATTCAGTTCACTTTTGAACTTGAGACAGGCAATTCTCTTCCATTCCTGAACATGTTGGGCATATGTAACACATCCAACTTCAGTACTATTGTTTACCATAAATCTTCATTGGTTTGCCTTCCACCATACCTCAAATCATGCCATCCGTCTAAACAAAAATTAGCTGCATTTTATTCCTTTGTTTTCTGTGCACTTCAATTTTCCTTCAATTTTCTTTTCCTTTTGATCAAGAAATAAATTATTTAAAAGCAGTAGCTATTGTGACATCGTGGGTGTTCCAGTTATAAGGGAAGTAACACTAGTATTCCTGATGCATCACTTTTTTACCACAGATACACAAGTCACAGATACAAAATGTAATTAATACAATTAGAAAACTGTTACCATATATCTGAGGATTCTCCCATCAATAAAATTCCTAGTTCCATATTTAAGGACCCCATTCCGGATATGAATTCCTGGGGTATTTATAGGATTCCTGCCAGTGTGGTTTAATTTACATTGGTCAAACTCAAAGAGCCTTAAAATTTCGCATCAAGGAACATGAGGAATATATTAGAAAAAAGGAAACACAGAAGTCTTCTGTTGCTCAACATTGTTGGTCCGAAAATCACACTTTCAATTTTTCTGCTGCCAAAATTATTCAAAAAACATCTTCCATTGGAGAACTAGATTTTCTAGAGGCATTTCACATTCATAAAAATCTTTTTGTTTTAGTTAACGATCCTAATTCCAATCCAACTTTGCCTTCGGCCTTTAAATAAATTATGTTTTAGTTCTGGTTTCACCAATAGATGGCACCACTTGCTTATTCTTGTCCAGGCTTTCTTATCTTATCTAATCATTATTTCCAATCTTGTTCATTTTCGGTTTTGCAGCTGAGTATGGTGGTTCTGTAAAACCATCGAAACTATTCCTCCGAAAATTTTGTAAATATAATGTTGATTTTTGTTTTTGTTGATTAGTATTTATTCGGCGTGTTATTGTGTCTTAATTAAACAAATAAATATTAAGCTTTTTTTTTTTTTTTTGTAAATTTTGATACCCTTTAGATCATAATTGCTCTCTATTACATAAATTACGGTTTCATATTTTTAATTTTATAATTTCTGCATGCCATCTTACCAGATTTAAATTGATTATCTATAATCTTGAAAAATCCCTAATCCGGAATCGGCGAAGTCCCGACGAGTTCGGATTAAAGACTTTTGACTGTAGCTATAAAACTGCACATGTTTTACAGAAATTTAATTTTAAGGTCATTGATTCTCCTGTCAATGTAATCACAAGTTCCGTAATTAAGAACCTCATTCTGGATTATGAATTCGCAGGGTATTTGCAGGATTCCTTGCCATTGTGGTTTAATTTACATTGGTCAAACTAGGAGAGCTTTAAAATTTCACATTAAAAGAACATGATGCATATGTTAGGGGAAAGAAAACACAGAAGTCCTCTGTTGCCCAGCATTGTTGGTCTGAAAATCATACTTTCCATTTTTCTGTAGCCAAAATTATTCAAAAAACATCTTCCATTGGTGAATTAGATTTCTAGAAAAAACTTTCTGTTCTAGATAACGACTCTAATTCCAATCCATATGTTTTAATTTTCTTGTTTCAACAATAAATGGCACCAGTAGCTTAATTCCTGTGTAGCCATTCTTATTTTATCACTATATCGTATTTTGTTCATTTGCACTTTGGCAGCTGAGGGTTATGGTTCGATAAAACCATTGAAACTAGCCCTGTGAGAATTTTGCAAACTTTGAAGATTTTTGTTATTTGACTTCATAATTTATAGTTCTTTAATTATTTAAAAATTAGTTTGATTTGACTTCTTTTTGTAATTTTTATAAGATTTTTTCTCCCATGTAATTGCTTCAAAATATTTAAATGTGTGTCAGTTTTCTCTTGAAAAATCACTTTACACATTTTTTTCCCCTGAATTCCCCTCCTCCAAAAAAATCTTCTTGCTCTTTGTTCTTAGAGTTGAAGAGGGATTATTTTTGTTCCGGATTTTAGACTTTGCATGTTAGGAAGTCTAAAGGTTACATTTATGGACCCCATCTATAAATGGCTAGAACCTGCCATTAGAGGAGGTGATTTATAGGAAATTTGTGATGAATTTCTTCTCTTGGAAGATTTTTGGAAGAACAGTGAAAATAAAATTATTTAAATTTTTGCCTTTTGATCCCAGATGTGTTTCTCTTAATATGTTTATCTCCATTTTATTTTATTATCTTTCCACTAGAACAAGCACTGAAGCAATCAAAGAAAGCAATAAAATTGAAAATCAACAATTTATTAAAAAGATTCATCATATATATCTCAGTGCTTCATTAAATTCTAAAAATTCTGCCGCATCTGCTTTGATCTTATTACGTGTCGGCCTCCAGTGGAACGGTGCTTTGGTGCACCAGTGTATCTGGGCCGAAGGCCCTACCCGTTGTAGAATAATTTTGAAGTTTCGAATGATGTTGGAAAATAACCAGTCCATTTCTAGAACAAGGTTGATACAAAACATAAATCATAATTAAGTTGGCATAAACAGTTACGTAAAAATTTGGTGACTGGGAAGCTGAAGTAAATACCATTAGCATTTAAAATAGTTAAAGTACTAATAGCGGCGGGTAAGGCATAAGCCGTCAAACTGGTGAGTAAATCCTCTCCGTAGTGGCGAAAAGTCCTGTTGATAAACAGTAGTTGCTCATTCGTCGAAGCCAGTCACATGGGAGGTCACCCTTCCAGAAACCGACTCCGTTCGATGCTGCTTGAAAACCAGGTCAACTGGTGAGTAGAAGATGTGAGAATAAATTTTAAAATGAAGTAAAACGTTGAATAACTGCAGTTCATGGGGATGCTGTCTTTAGTATCCTTCATCAGCGATTTTCATCAAGTACATAGCAGCTTTAAAACCAGAGGATAACTTATCAGCAACAGTTTTCGCTTTTCTGATGCTTTCGATGATTTCGATAATTCTGCTGAAGAATTCTTGAATCTTATCATCTCGCAGCCAGTTAAGGGTTTCTCCTGCCTCTGCTGGGATTTTAGTTTCTTCTTTAACTTTTCGCTGTACTGACCCTTTTGAGATGTGGTGTTACTTCCTTCAGTGGTTTTTGCGAGTTGCAGAAAATCTTCTTTTGTAGCAATAAATTCCTTCGATTTACGTGGGGCTGGTTTTTTCTCAAACTTTTTCTTGTATTCTTCACATCCGCGATAACTGCAAACATGATTTTTTCTGCAGAATAGGCAAGTGGGTGTTTCATCTTGCTTCTCAGGGCAGGTATTGCTGCAGTGTTCATCTCCACATTTGCAACATCTCACTGCGTTCATGCATAAATGTTGGGAGTGCCCCCACTCCTGACATCTAAAACACTGGATCAGGCGTTTTCTGGGGCTATATTTCTCTATCCGGACGTTCACGCTAAACATGCAGTTTAGCTGATGAATTGCATGACCTTGTTCATTCTTCTTAAGTTCTATTTGCCAAATTGGCAGTTTTTCAGAATTGTATTTTTTGCTCCTGCAGAATTGCTTGACCTTTATGACTGGGAATTTTCTTCTTACTAAATCCTCTTAAACCGCTTCAGTGATTTTATCTGGGAGATTTTTCAGAATGACTCTCAATGGTTTTTCTTTATCTGTCTGGTATGTATGGAAAGTTATTTCCTTCTTCTTCAGAAATTTCGTGGCGTTTTTGTAATCTTCCAGCATTTTCATGTTCACATAGATCAATTTCAACTTCATGTTCATTTCAATTTCATCTTAGCATATTTCTCTGAGGTCTCGTTTCACGTTTAACCAGTCTATTGTCTCTTGCTTGAAAACAATAGGGGATGGAATTTCATCAGGGCAGTCACTTTCAGGTTCTTTTTGTACTTCTTCCAACTTCTCAAATCTGTTTTCACTAGTAATTTCCATCTGGGCTGGCTCTGGTAGTTTTTTCACTGTCTTTTTATGTTCCTGGAGGTTATAGATACCATATTACTATATCAGCATTGTTATACATGTTTCAGTTGTACCTGTTCATCTATAGTAGAGTCCGCACCGTCCTGAGTAACATCAGGTTCAGACGAAGTTTTCATCTTCTTTTTCTTGGTTTTCTTCCTGGGCGATTTTACAAAGTCCTCTCTCTTGAGTGGGAATTGCATCGATTTGCTCTTATTTTGTTTCATATTTATTTCCAATACTCATATTATTCAAGAAATAAAATTTTCTTCTATATATTCCAAGTACAAGCAGTTCTTTACAAAACAGAAACATTTAATTGAATCTGAAAATTTTAAAATGAAGAAGAAATTCGTTGAAATGAAATTGATTTTTAAAGAGAGAGAAAATTATTCTTCAAAGGTACATTGTTGAAACTTTAACAGATTAAGAGATGAAGCAGAGGCTATTTGGAATGTTGATTTGTCTTTTGAAACAAATAAGCTGATAAAGATAATAAAGAGGAGGAAATTGATGTAAATTAGTTAAAAATAAATGGAACATTTTTTAATTAAATACATGCATAAACATTTTTTGTTATTGCTACAAAACATTACATATGGTTTAGTCGAACTTTACCAAAGTAGTATATTGCCAAACACTAGGTCTTACATAAAAAAATCTGATGTGTACACCACATGACTTCCTTGTACGGAATATTAAATTATACGCATTTTTTCTTGCATTTCATTTAAACTTATTGGATTGAATTAAATCTACTTCGTCGACAGCTCATAAACCACAATACAATAAATGCACTCTTTAAAATTCACTATATTTGTTTACCATAGCGACACTCTGGCTAGGTTCACTTAACAGTATTATATTTCATTCATATTATAACTCAGAATGCACAAAATGTATATAATTTAAAGAATTATCTAATCGTTGCCACATGTTCTACTCAAATACTATAATAAAGCTAGAACGATGTCTAAAAGAAATTAAGCAAACAAAACAAAAAAGAAACAGTTTTTCACAGATGATTGAGTATTTCTCATTCAATTAATTCAGTTCTCACTTCGCAACAAGGCAAAAATACATAAAAACTCAAAATATCTGTATTAAAAATTACGAAATAAATCTTGAACACTTATTTACTCAAAAAAAATTCCAGAAAGGATTAAGCATGATTTGATTCGCAATAATAAATGAAGGCGTTATTTCTGTTGTTGCAAAGCTAAGTTTCTCTAGATGGGCAACAAATCCACTATTCTGCTGTTTCAAATGTAAACAAGCAATGGCCGCCATAAAAAAAATTACTAGGCTTAGCGGCACTTAAACAACTTTAAAATTGTTGATAATTCTAAAAATATTGCATACAGATTTACTAAAGGCATAAAAACCTTAACCGGAAGATAAGAACCACATAATTCACTCATTTTTAAAGCAAAAAATGTACAATTTACAAACTTATAAGAGTAAAGAAACTGAGATCACTGTACCAAGTAACAGAGTAGATATATATATATATATATAAGTATATTTATATACATTTGGTGCGGCTGATTGCAACCAAAATACGAGGTGCACATCTACATGTTATAGCAGTCCTATATACTAATTTGCAACATTCTGAGGCTACTTGTTTTTGAGTTATGCAAGATACGTTCGTACAGATGGCAGGAAAAATTCACTTCAGAATTCATTTTAAAGCAGTTTTATAATTTTTTGGAGGAAAGGAGTCTTTTATTCTGTCCGTACGTACAGATGTCACACGAAAACATCGTTAAATGGCATTCGATAGTGGTCAAAATGGATATTTTCGTTGAAATATGCTGCCTGAAACTTTTTGCAATTACAATACTTCCTTTTTACTTCGTACAAGGAAGTAAAAATGTACTTATCTTGAAGCATTACTTTTTTTGCAGAAATGTTAAATTAAATACATTCATGAGAAACATCTTGAAATATTTTGAAATCTCTGTTTTAATATGTAGTTTCATATACATACTTGTCTCTTTCAATTCATATAATGTATATTAATTTTATTAGGCTCTTCAATCCCTCATACTCAACCTTCAGAAGGTCCTCAAGAACCAGGTGATTCAGCAACTGCCATGTGGATCTGCAGGCATTGTACTTTCCTGAACCAGCCCCAAGTGAGCACATGTGAAATGTGCGGCCTTCCTCAGTGAATAAGACTTTTTCCTGCCACAGGGCTGTTTTATAGTGATTGCAGCACTATTAATATATGGCTTGACTGCTAATTGTGATAATTTCGCTACATGAAGATCCTCATACCAGAGAACTGTGATTTTTCAAAAAGAAACTTTTGAACATTTAATTCCAAGTCCAACAGTGCCTCTGGTTTCAGTAGCTTTCATCGGTTTTGCAATTCTTGGATCTGCTGTCCAAGATACACTGCTGATGATCACCATTGCAATATTCTCATGTTTCTAAATTTATGCTTCGAAAAAATCACAGATTAAGTTTCTTAGAGACTTAACGCATGGAGGCCATTATAATTATTAACAACGGAAGTTTTATAAAAGTAAATCTTCGAGTATTTAAACAGCAAAAATAAGTTCCATATGGACGATAAACTTCGTTACAGATCTGTGTTGCTTTCTACTTTTACAAAAATTAAATAATAGTAAATATAATGCATGTATTTAAAAAAGAATTGCATTTAGTGTTCACTTTATTTAAGTGGCATGGATTTATCTGATCACATTATACAGTGCATTTACAAAAATTAATAAAATCATTCATATCTTATGTGCATTCCTTTTAATACCATTGGTTATTCATATAATTTCTATAATCATGTCAGCTAAGATACTTTTGTTGAAGACAATTTTTGATATACCTTTTCATTCTCTTCAGATATATTTGAATTTTTTTAATACCATCAGAATTCTGTAGTGTATGATTTCATTTTAGAGAATGAAAAATAGTATGTCAGATACCAGATCTGATTAAATATTTCTGAATTTCTTTAATACCATCTGTAGTGTACGATATCAGTTCTGTAGTGTATGATATCATTTTAGAGAATGAAAAATAATATGCCAAATACCATATCTGGTTAAAAGTTACTTGTATTAATATTAAACATTTCTTTACATCAGCAAATTCGACATTTGGCACACTACATTTTTCTTTACATTAGACAGCTTAATGATAATTACATTCTGCTAGGAGAAATAAAAATTTCATTGTCTGTAAGACTTTTCTGACCTAATTTAATGGATTCTTTTCAGAAACTGTTTTTTGATTCTTTGTAGAACATGGTGTTTACTGTATTTTCTTACAGTATTTACTGTATTGCTGTTAATCACCAGCATACTCTTTACTTGGAACTTTGAAAAAAACTTATTCAGCAAGTTAATTTACTTGTATATATGAATGATTGTTTACCTTTGAATTATGAGCCAGGTAGTCATTTTATCATGAGGCAAAGAAGAATTCAAAGTCAGTTATAGAATGAATTGTGAAAATTGCAAAATGTTCAGGGTGTAAGATTTATGCTAACAATTTTACAGTGAAGGAATTATGCACTTCAAAAAAATCTAGCATGTGCAAAGTGATGATACAAATAATTAATGCATGATTAAGCATTGTTACATATTTCTTTTAATTTATATTTAATTTTATTAATCAATCAAAATCTGAATCAGTTATCAGTGTTGCTACATGACATTGAGATTTTAAAAGAATTACAATTTCATATAAAAAATTATATTGCATATATGTGTATTGATTTAATACAATATCTTCTTCTACAGTGCAGGTTTGTCAGGTATCAGACACCTCTACTAAATTGCATGTTTTATGACTGCCATTTTGAGTGTGAATTAGCATTTTGGAGAAATATTTTTGGCAATTCACTGGCGTATATGATTATCTTTTGAATGGATGAATGGGTTATAATTTCTAATATAGAATGGTGGGATACTCGAGTTTTTAAGCAAGAAGTGAAACATAAGGACTTCGAAATTCATTTTTTCTAATGAAGAGCTCTTAAACAACTTTCTACTTTTGGGGATGTGAATTCTTTTATTGAACAGTTCTAAATTTGGTGACTTACCAACATTTTAGCGGTTTTAAAATAAATTTCTATAGAAAATTTTTAATTCCGAGATCTGGGAATTTTTCGACGATTTTTTTAAAACATTGTAACAATGATAAATTTTATTAAAATAATGATACTTTATTGAAATTATATTTAAAAAATAAGATTAAAATTAAGAAAAATTATTTTTCGCTATTATATTATAAAGTTTCATTTCGGCAACTGATACAAGATTTTGAATCCGAAAAATAAACAAGGTATAATGCTGTAAAATACAATTTTTGGAACAGTTCTTAACAAAAGCAAAATTAGCTATGTAATTAATTAAAAATGTCTTCTTTTTAATTTTTTCCATGTAATTGTCTCAGAATCATCAGTTTTCTCTGTAAAGTTAATTTTACATTTTTTCCCTCCCCTTTTTTTTCAAGATATTTCGGGCTTTTTGCTGTTACAGAATTCGTAGGGATAATTTTTCTTTACGGTTTTAGCCATTGCAGCTTGGAAAATTTAGAAGGATTTGAAGGCAAGATTTATAGACCCACGATTCTAAAAGATTCCAGAAATATGACAAAACGCAAAATGTCTCCATGGTATTAACTCGTAATGAATGCATTTTAGAGAAAGTTTGCGATGAATTTCTTACTTTTTCGAGAACGTCTGGAAGAACACTGAAAATACAATATTTTAATGTTTTACTTCTGATACTAGAATCTTTACATATTTATCTTCCCTTTATTTTCTCTACTTTTCGCTAGACACAAGCATGGAAAACATTAAAAATGCTTTCAATCTTATCACGTGGACAGGCATTATAGAAAAGAATTTTTTTATTAATGCAGAAACTGAAAGCTTGTAATTTAAAAGATTCATCTAATATGTTTTAATGCATCATACACAGAACAGGTGCTAGGCATTTCCCACCTGATGCAATCTCTGTGGAGCCTAAATTCTGCTGCTTAGTACCTTTCTAAATTTTGTCTCCAATGCCTGTCTAAATTCTAAAAGCTTTGCCATTTCTAGATTTTGTTGCTCGGTGTGTCACTAAATTCTAAAAATTCTGCCACCCCATCTCTGTAACCGGCCCTTACCATATATATTTCAGATTTCTTCTGAATGTTCATATTACTAAAGAAATAAAATTAGCAGCTTTTTCTATACATTATAAATGCTTTTATTTTTTTTAGAATAACAGAAATCCTTAATTAAATCCAAAAATTCTAAAATGAAAAGGATACGTGTTGAAGAAAGAAACTGAATACATAAAAGAAAATTATTCTTCAAAGATATGTACAGTTATTATCATGTAAATTACCCAATTGTTTATGAGTTCTGCCTTTACTATAATTTCCCATTTCTGTTTCCTCATAAGATAGAGTTACTGACCCTGTTTAAACTAAAATTAAACTGTACAGCCTTTGACCACTAGTCCACATTTCTAGTTTGAATTTGACTGTTCTTGTATTACATCACCATGAGCTGTAATTGATTTTGTTAGCATCAAAACATGCCTTTATGTTCTAAGTTCTTTTTAAATAAGAGGCTTAGTTAAACCTTTGTCTGACATTGTAGTTACTTTCAGACACAGAGATAATTTGCTTCACGTCTGTCAGGAGGTTTTGGACTATTTAACTTTTACCAGATCAAATAAACCCTGATAGCTACACTGCGAAGAGATTAACAAGTTAGGATTAAAGCATGCAGAAACTAGTGAGAACATTGGTTTGCGTATTGAGAGAAATTTCTGATTGTTAAGAAAGATGCTTAAAAGAGAAGGAAATCGATATAAATTAGCCAAAATGTCTGGTAAGACTTTGAATTAAAAAGATGCATAAATAATTTGTTGAGTGCTGTTGTTACAAAACATAAATGTTTTGTAGCTTTTAATGTGTAATTATCTTAATAGCGTTTAAGAATCAATGTCATAAATTACATGTATTTTAAACTATGAAATTTGATTAGATTGTGATTTTATTAGGGCTTTTTAAAAAAATATCGTTAAAAAATAAAATTTAATAGTGGCCATGTAAATCCATAATGACTAAGTTTACCTAACTACCAAATTAATTATTTATAACTAACTGCTTATCCTTGAAAATTATCTCTGCATATTAAAGCGAGTTACTGAATTTCATTTATCCTTACTGTGGTCACAAAATTATAAAAAATCATGTAAAACCTATTCTTTGCATCTAGCGAGACTTAAAATAATACAGAACACTTATCACCTCTGGTTCTTTAATGGCTTATTGGAACCATAAAGTATATTAACTGGGTTACAACCCCTGGAACTCTACATGAAGCTACGACACTAACTATACAGACAGAGCCCAACTAACTTTCAAAACTTCCCAACAATGCCTATGTCAGGTCTTTCAGGTTTGTTCTAATCAGCAAGTCTCTCTCTCTCTAGGCAAGTAGCAACAGTGACAACATCCAGTCTTGTTATAAATCATGCTGATTATCATCTTAATTCTCATTTTAACCTATGCCGCTTGACATAAAATCTACCTGTTATTTACTAAACCTCTAGACTGAACAAGTATGTGACAAAATGAGAAATAAAAAGAAATCAACATAAAGCTAACTGTTAGTAAAACATAAACAAAGTGTCACTTATCCTCTTTCAAATATGTCCAACTATTATGAATGTAAAATATTTAATGCTACTTAATAAATTTCATAAAGTTTATTTTATTCTCATATTTATTAATATTTATGTTAATTCATGTTTTATAATAATGCATCCTACTTATGAATCTATTTTATTTTTGGGATGGTATTATAAAAGTGAAGTTCATGCATAGATAATAATTTTAATTGAATTTATTCAGTTCCATGTGCTCATAGGTCCTTAATGCTTTTCACTAATGGTTCTTAAAAGTACTTAATTTACATGTACAGAAATGTGTACGAACCCTGCAAACCCAGTGCTTCTTAACTCCTTTTGTTTGGGTTGCCCACTTTGTTTCGGACAAACCCTTAATAGAGCCGATGTGTAACTTTAGTATTGAGAATACATAAAGTAGTCAATCGAGTTCTCACAGCATTTCCTGCATATTGGGTCTTGTGAAAAAAGTTCCACAATATGAAGGTGTTTTCTGAAATATGAGTGCCCCATGATAAAGCCCACAATTATTTGTATCTTCAGTCTTGAGCATCTAAGAACTTCAGAAGCAATTGAGTAACTTGAGTAGAGGTCATTTCTACCTCACTCAATGAAGTGAGTGAGTTAGAAATGAGTAGAAGGTGAGTGAAGTACATTTCTGCTCCTTCGATTGACTTCCTCTGGGTTTCCTTGTTTTGAGAAGAAAAGTTTACCTCAGAGGTTTTGCCTGCAAAAGCAGAATTTATATTTAAAAAAAAAAAGACCACTCAATATTGCCTGTTGTTGTGTAAACCAAAATACTCTAGAAGTTGCGAGGTATTCTAGGGCCTCTGTTAAGATACTATAAGCACAGTATGAAATACCCTTGGCACGGGTCGCATAACACTAGGGTTATGGTAGGGGATTTGCAGTTTCTTATTCATTATTCGAAGCTATACTGTGAGATAACACAAGACATCTGGCTATCCACCACCCACCGACGATCCTGGTAGCCACTCAATCCCCGTGAACACAGTATAATATCCTGTAACATGCTTTCTAAAAAAAAATTAGGAAAGGATTTTTCAGTATTAGTATTTTCTGTAAATGATGGATAGAAATATGAAATACTTACAGAATATTTTTGCATGAAAATTCACACATCGGTTTGTCCTTGTGTTCAACCATATGTGAATGTGCCTAAAAACAAAACAAATAATATATACTATATATATTTGTGGCTGGTGACAAAAGACATATGTTTAATTTTCAAACAACAGTGCTTAAAATTTTTTTCCATGATAAATGGATGCAGCTAGTAAATTAATAATTCACACCAAGTTCTATGTTTTAAATTTCTGATATGGATTTTGACATAAATTCTACTGAGATACAGGGTGATTATAATTAAAGTTTAAGTTTCAAACCGCTATAAAAAAAGAACCACTCATGAAAATGACGTCAAATTTGAAAGGAATGTTATTGAAGAAGGCGGAAAGCGTATGGCAGAAGAAAAAATTTAGTTTCAAAAGTTAGCAACAGATGGCGCTGCAAGCGGAAGAAGACGTAAATTAAAATGTTAGTTAAATTTCAGTGTTATAAAGCCACCAGGTACCAGGCTGTTCCTCATTTCGCGTCTCAGACGTTCGCCATGGGTGTTTCACTGCAGGACCGCGCTCTGCTGGTAAAGCTGTATTACAAGAATGATGATTGTGCAAGAGTAGCTCTGCAAAAATTCAGGACACTGAAGGGTATAAAAGAAGGCGTTGGTCCAATGAGTGTCGTAGGTCTAAAGAAAATGATGCAAAAATTCGAAACGACAGGTTCGTTTGATGTGCAATCTGGTAGAGGGAGAAAACGAGTGCATTCGACGGTAGTTGAAGAAGTGGCCACAGCATTACAGGAGGGGTCGGCCGGTGGTGTGCAACCGTGCAGTGCACGAGGAATTGCCCGAACATTGGACAGGCCTACGAGCACGGTGCTGAAAATTGTACGAAACATCCTGCAATGCTATCCGTACAAAATTGGCCATGTGCAGGAGTTGCTTCCGTCTGACCTGACAGCTAGGGAGACGTTTGCGTTAGAATTCCTGGCTCGCATGGAAGTGGATAATGAATGGCCGTGGAAAATTTTGTGGACAGATGAAGCCCATTTCCATCTGACAGGATACGTGAATACCCAGAATTGTCGAATATGGGCAACAGAAAATCCACTGGCAACGCACCCCGTACCACTTCATCCTGAAAAGGTCACGGTATGGTGTGGCTTTACGGCATCATTCATCCTACAACCATATTTTTTCGAGCAGACGGGTGCTTCCGGTCCTGTTACCGCAACCGTCACTGGTCAGAGGTATGCGTCTCTTTTGCGCAACCACGTGATTCCAGCTCTGCAACAGCGTGGATGTGTGGATGAAATCATTTTTATGCAAGATGGCGCTCCTTCGCACATTGCACATCCCGTGAAGCAGCTGCTGAGGCGCCATTTCGGAAATGCTCGAATTATCAGCCGTCATTTCCCTACAGCCTGGCCGTCCCGATCGCCTGATCTTACTCCGTGTGATTTCTGGCTGTGGGATATCTTAAGGATGTTGTGTTCCGTGCTCCAACTGCAAATTTAGCGGAATTAAAGGCACGCATTTCGCAACACATTCTGAACATCACCCCGGAGACACTGCGATCCGTTGTGGAACATGCTGTTTGTCGCTTTCAACTTGTTGCACACAACGGTGGACACCATATTGAACATGTTTTGCGACAGTTCCGAACTTCTTTGATGAATGGTTCTTATGCGGTATGTCGCCGCAAAACTCTTGAAACCGATTTGTCCCTTTCGATGTGATATGTACAGTCATGCAAATAAAATTATTCAACAATTCTAATTTGTCAATGCGTTTTAATGTGTAACTTCCACCTTAGCCATTGTTTTACGAATCGTTTCTCGTCGTGATTCTGCCGCTTACAGCGCCATCTGTTGCTAACTTTTGAAACTAAATTTTTTCTTCTGCCATACGCTTTCCGCCTTTTTCAATAACATTCCTTTCAAATTTCACATCATTTTCATCAGTGGTTCTTTTTTTATAGCGTTTTGAAACTTAAACTTTAATTATAATCACCCTGTATTTTATGACAGCGCCAACTACGAGTATACTCGTAACTACAGTATATTCGTATATTTGTAGTTGGCGGTTGCGTATAACAAAGATTGATTATTTTTACAACAAGTATTACAACAAAGATATTATAAATTGCTTGATTGTTTTGACAGTTCCTATATTATTTACTAGTATATAATTACTTATATTAATTATAATAATATCATGAATTGCGCCAAATTGTTGCATTTTCCCCTAATCCCCAAAGCCAGAGCCTTCAAAGAACATGAAAATACTACGAGTTTGATATTATGTGGCGTACATAAACAAAAACGTGCTGCGAATTAACTCGTAGCTGGCGCCTAAACACAGACTTCGACCTACTACGAGATAACTCGTAGTTGGAAGTGAACATGTTAGTAATCTTAGGTTGTACTAAGATTTAGGTTTCGAGAAATCAATATAAACTTGGATTTCCAAAGCACTTGCATAACAAAACTGGATTAAACTTGATATTTAATACGTTTCTAAGTAAAAGAATGAAAGCAGAATTAGGCTATTTAAGTACTTAAAAAATCAAAATAACTAAATTAAAATTTATGTAGAGATAAATTATGAGCTGGTTTTATCTAAGATGAGCAAGTTTAAAGATTAACAGGATAAAGTGTAACATAACGACTAAAAAAATAAATAAAAGCGATGACCTGTAACTAGTAAGATAACCAGTAAGATTTAATGATAATCAATCAGAAGAGGTTAGTGGAATAAAGGATAATACTTAGCAAGCCTAAAAACTCGAAAATTTCACCGAAAAAGGTGCAGACGATAAAATGCAAGAGAATGAATGACATCTATAAAAATTTTTATAGACACCGAGCATCTATAAAACATTTTGAGAGTGCAGCCATTGACCGATACTAAAAGCAAAGGGAATCATTTAAAAAAATTGCAAAACTTCATATGAATTAGGGAACTAATGTATGCTGGATATTTCAGAAAGACGGCTTGATTAAATATCTTAAAACATTGGTTGTAGATCTCATGGATCTCAGTTATGAAAATGAATCAAATGAAATAGGTTTTTAGATTATTATAATTTTTTTACCGACTGCCTTTAGTGAAAATATATGAAAGTTAAATTTTTATAAGAAAATTTAAAATTAGTAAGTTGTTTCTTTTTATATTAAAGAAAAAACTGTAGTTCTATAATGTGTGAAGTTGGCTTTGAAGACAGTTATTCAAATTGTATGACTCGTGCACATTTTGAAAACAATTCTTCTAAAGTAAGATCTTGTCTGATCCTGTCTTCTAGAAGTAACTTCTAGAAATTCACATTCAAATACTTAATATGAGTGTTTATGGTACTATTTGTTTTTGGTGTCTCAAATATTAATTTTATGGAAGGTAATTTTAACTTTATAAGGATGGTAATTTTTTTATTAATTTGCCTATGGAAAACATTTCTTTTACAAATCCCAAGTAAAAATTTAAGTTTCATATATGCTTCTACTAATATATTGCGATCAAAACTGTTACAATTTAATTTTCTTATTTAAATTATTTCTTGAACTGAAACTATGGATCTATAATCAGCATTTCAGGTGACAGTTAATCATTCAATCATTTTGAAACATTCTGTATAAATATTTCACAACATAAAACTGAATACCAGGTGATCACAACTATAAGATTTACACATACCGTATTCAAAGGCTACAAAAAGGTATTCTGCAGGGGGGGAGGCAAGTTAAAAAAAGTAACAACGAATATTTTTATGGTAAAATACAAAAAGAGGGAGGAAGCATTTATAAGCACTAAATGAAATCAGGATCAGAGAAGATAGTGCTACTTTAATTACTGAAAAAAGAATTTGATTTGCATAAGTGATGAACTGTAGCATATCACTCATGTGAAATCAAACACCAATTATGTTCATGCAGGATGTATAGAAAGTAAAAAGTGATCAGCAATGTGCTCAGTAGCTGATTACATTTGCTTCACATATGCAATGAAATATGGTCTTCCAGTTCTGCAATTTAGAGGAAAGATGTTGCAGTAAATGTTTGATATATTTTTCTTGTCTTCTTCATTTATTTAATACGCTCCTTTTTTCTGTATTTGAGTATGAAGTATCTCTATTCACACAATGTATGAACTTTTTTTTTTTTTTTTTGCATTCAATGAGTAATGCATTCTGAATTTTGATGTCAGTTCACTTGAATGTTTACAGTTATAGAAGTATTATTCTAAGCAATACAACTTTAAATGCAGTTGCCTCATTGTTGTGGTCATTATTGTGTCTATGATGAAGCCTATTTTAATAGTGCCATGGGTGAAGATGACAACCCTGGCAATATGCAAAATGCCATGATCATAGAGGTTTGATTTCTTTCAGAAAAGGTAATTCTTTCAGCACACATTTTTTATTGTGTGCATAATTCACAACAGCACACAATAAGAAATGTGTGCTGTTGTGAATTATGCATCCGGACAGTTATTGCATTTTCTGTAGGTTTTCCTATCCTTTCTGCCAATTTTTAGTCCTCTGTGATGGCCAGTGCTAAGCCTGGCTATGGTTTTAATTACAAGTCGATCACTACTGATGTTATGGAGCTGTGCTTTATTGGAACTCGATGTTCCTTCAATCTGCATTCGGCTGTGGCATTTGCTTCTGAGAGGGTGACATTTATGATAATTATTATTGTTGAAATTTCTAGCATTTTTTCAAGTTTATCTGCATTCTTGTTATCTGTGATGTTGACATATGCTGGCAACCATTGAATATGGTTACAGATATAGAAATATTCTACACAGAACAACTTAATTGCAATTGATCATTATAATAAATATTTTAAAACAAAAATTTACACATCAGATGTGAATTCTGTGTCTATATGCTAGATATGAAATTTCTTTTACAAATAATTTTAAATGTATGAATTTTGGAAATGTTTCACTTTATTTTGAAACAGCTTATATATACTGGGGTTTTAATAATTTTACTATTCGTATGTAGAATATTCTTGGATAACAAAGAAATTGAAAAGTAATAGTTGACTAACTGGCCTTTTTATTTTACATATTTATGATTGCAATTAATATACATTTGAAATTGCCAGTAATTCACAAAATACTCGTTAACTAATCATTACTCTGCTTTATGTGTTAGAACTAGCTTTAAACAAATAATATACATCAATAAATTATGCTAAATGCTTTAAAATTCCACATCCATCTTCAGAAACTGCACTTAAGTTAGAACTGTATTCATAGAGAATTTAATTATTTTATATTTATATATACAGTAAAATCAGTCTTCATTCTTTGGAAAAGCACAGAACAAAGTTTAATATTCTTACTAAATTGTCAATGGAGTTTGTTAAAATTTAAAAGCTATCTGCATGCAGTTGTTCTAAGTTTATGCAATCACATATATTCTTTGGTACAGAGAAAGCAAAAAATAAAATTTGATATTCTTTATTTCTTCTGTTTTATGAAATGAGTTGACAAATGGTTTTGTTGAATTTTATGAAGCCATTGGCACTGAAATACTTGGGTTCATCGGAACCATTTATTTGAATACTATTTTGTATTGATATGTATGAAAAATTGCATTTTTTTAATATACTGGTATATTTTTCTTAAATGCTTGTGAAAAAAAGGTCCTAGAGTAAAATTAGATCTCATCCTCAGTCCCACATAACTTTGGCAAATTACTCTACCTGAATTTGGACATTTCTTCCTTTATAACACAAATATTCAGTTAATTAATGTCAGAAATATAAAATAGTTTAATTAAATAAATATCAAAAAGTATTAAATTACCCACAGATAAAATAAAACAAGTCAAACTGAATAAAAATAATCAGAACTACAAATTTAAAACTATGTTTATATAATTTCCAAATTTAGACCTGCTGAATACTGCTGGTTCTAACCTAGGCGAATGGGTCATTTTACTTCAGAAAGCCCTCTAGGAAAGCATCTCTCCCCCTTGTGTGCTTCAAATAGACTAAACTAACCATTAAGTTTAATTATAAAAATTAAAAAACACGAATATAACTCATGTCAGGGACTTAATAACAGTATGCAATATGTCTACATAAGTCTGGTTTTATTTTCACATCGATTGATCTTAGAGATATACTTCCAGTTGTAAAATTATTTTAAATTGTACAAATACTTATGTTTTGACACTTTAAAATTTAGAAAATCCATTTAAAAACCTATTTTGTAAAAATTATGAAATCTAATATTTTTTATAGTAGTCAATATATTGTTACAAATTTGTGTACATATGTAAATTATTTTAGTGAAGTTATGTTTAAAACTGTAGTATCTTTTGAGTAATGTCACATGAAAATCTGCAGAGTCTAAGTTCTGCCGAAAAAATAAGACTATAGAAGCGAATTTATTTAACATTGAAGCAAATGGCTATCTCGGTAAATTGGCGAAATATCGCCAAGATGACAGCGGTTTTGGTAACTAATTTTTTGTCACTAAATTTGACGACAAATCGCCCATTTTCGTTCGGTCCTTGTATAACTCGAGTTGGTATTCTATGTAATGATCCCTATATGAAATTGTAACCGTATTCGGCTTCATCTATCTTCGAGTAATTTCGAAAAGTGGAAGTGACTTGAAATTCCTCAACTGACAGGGGGAAAATACAAGAACGGGACAGCATTATTTTTTCAATTCAGAGTACGGAGTACTGAGATATCTCCGCATGAGCTTTGCTCTTTAGATGTGCTTTGCATTGCGTTGTATTTAACGTTCTTATTAGTTTGAAGTGTATCTACTGAATGTGTTCTCTGATACTAAGAAGAGCTATACGCATATTTTTGTATAAAGTTCGAGAACTCTTAATTGTTTCTTTCGATGAAAATAAATTTGATCGAGCTATCATCGGTTCTGTGTGCATTCAATCCATTATGAACTCGTAAGCACGCAACAATGTTTGGCGTCAGAAGTAGGCTTGAATCCCGTACAAGAGCAGTGGTGAACAACTAAGAAAGCTGGTGACTGTCTGTGCTGTATTTCAAGAAAAGATCTTCCATATTTTCTTGAAACCTTCAATTCTGTTAAGGAAGAGATGGAAGATGTCCAAGATTTGATTGAAGCAGGTCAAGAGGAAATGAAAAGAGAAATAACCTCCATAACGGAAAACAAATTTGAGTTTATAAGGAGGCAGAACAGACACGGTTGAAAATGAAGGTGAAGAAGTTGAAGAAAGAGTTATGCTGTTGCACAACAAATCAGAGAAAGAGTTTCTTCTGTCAAACAACAAATCGAAGAGCGAGTTTCTACTGTTTGCATTAAATCGATTACAAAGATTCTGCTGTCAGCAAAGAAGTTGACAGCTTGAAAAAAAATCATAGCGACAGCATGAAGCGATTCTGATGGATTTAAATTTTTAACCATGCCTTCTCGCCCATCTCAAGCTGTCTACTTGTAATGGAAAGACCTGGCAATTGTCTGTTTTCTATAGTGACAGACATAATTGGATGAGATTCTCAAGCTAAGGACTGCCATCTCGCCGCTTTTCTAAGAGCAGATATCCTTCAAACACCACCCGAAAAACAGAATATAGACTTGTTAATCCGGCGTGTTAAAGCTGGGCTATGACGAGAAATATTTAAAACACGATAGCAGGCTTCAGTTAAAATCGCGCCAACAGAAGCCCACGGATACACTCCAGGAGTTCACCATGGCTGTTGAAAGACTGTCTGATCTCGCTTTTTCGGATTGCCCATCAGAAAGAAGGCAAATCCTGTGCCTGTAGTACTTCAGCAATGGAAAACGGGATCCTGAGATTTAAAAAAAAAAAAAAAAAAAAAAAAAACCACCTTGCAAATGGCGGATGTCAAGTATCTAAGAAACATTTTAATATACACCATAAAATTCGAGGCAGCACAGCAAGCGGTCGCAGAAACTGCCACCCAATCAGAGCTGCTCAAGTTCAGAAGCCAGTGATCAAGTGACTGCTTGTCTAGACGACTGTCACCAGGAAATTCAGTACTTTGAAACAGAATAGGAGTGACAAGAAACTGATCCTAAAGTGCCGGAACTGCAGTACTTAAGGTCACATACGAAGAAACTGCAAATTACCCCAAAGCATGAAAATTAGTAAGTATGCAGGAAACAAATTAATGGGCATCTTTTGTGGAGTGGAAGGTACTAGATACTAAGAAGCCCTATTTTAAAGCACTTCAGATTTCTGCAGTGAGTGGCTGCAGTAATGGACTTTACATCACAGGATATATTAATGGAGTTCCTTGCTATTTGGCCATCAATACTGAAGCCACTGTTACCATCATCAGAAAAATTTTATCTCAACAGTCGGAATGTAAACTCATCAGGACCCTGCCCTGCATTACCCTCTAGACTGTGTCCGGTGATAAAATTGAAACTGATGGAAAGTTAAACGGTAACATCACATTTGGGAGTGCCACCTACAGTCACATGGCATATGCAGAAGATATTGTCGATCCTTGCACACTCGGATTTTCCAAGGAAATATAATTTTTCTTTGGACTTAAAAAGTAACGAACTGCATTCTGCCACTGAGGACATGACCCTATTCGCAGTTAATGATGAAGGAGTTAAATATGTCCATGAAATCATAGCTCAAGACGATATCACAATACCAGCAAGAACAGAATTTTTACTTCCTGGATCTCTAGTCGAAAACAGAAATTTCCCCTACGGTGTATTTGGATATCCCAAGGTCTCTAACACCGCGCGAGGAGTACTTATTAGCCTCGGCACTCGTCAACTAATCGAAGATAGTTATCCCGGTGAGAGTTGCCAATGACACAGCACAGAATTGATGCCGGGAATCATAAACTTCAGCAACATCCAAGACATTTTATGATCGCTTAACAGGATAAAGTAAGGAAACTTTTAAAGGATACGGAAGAAAGTGACGTTATCAAACTGTCAACAAGTCCTTGGACCTCTCCCATTGTCCTGGTTCAAAAAAAAAGACGATTCAACTACATTTTGTGTTGATTATCGGTGGTTGAACGAGGTTACGAAGAAAGAAAACTGCCCTCTTCCTAGAATTGACAATATTCCGGACACTCTTTCTGAAAGCAAGTGATTTTCGATGCTTGATTTAAAGAATGGACTTTGGCAGGTAGAGATACAACCTGATGACCGAGAAAAGACGGCATTTACTAACGAAAAGTACTCTGGCAGTTGAGAGTGATGCTGTTTGGAATATGTACTGCGCCAGCAACATTCGAATGCCTCGTGGAGACCATGTTGAGAGGTCTTTCTTACGAACTTGTCTGATATATCTTGATTTCTTACGAACTTGTCTGATATCTGGATGACATCAGTATCTTTGGAAATAATTTTGAAGGGCATTTAGAAAATATTAGGAACGTACTTTAGAAATTGAAGTAAGCCAATCTAAAATTTTGCAAACGTAAATTGTTCAGAGAAGTGATTTACCTTGGACATGTGATCTCTGAGGAACGTCTCTGTACAAATAAAGAAAAAGCGTCGGTAGTTAAAAATCAAGAGATTCCCTGAAAATCTCCATCAGCTAAGTTTCCTGGGGCTTTGCACAAACAACGGAAGATTTGTGAAAGATTTTCTTCCATCGTAAAACGTCTATAAAATCTCTACACAAACTGACAGACAGAAAAAAAAAGTTCTTCTGCACAAAAGAATATGAGGATGCATTTAACAGGAAGCTTTAACATCTTGAAGATTGAAGGAAGCTTTAACATCTTGAAGATTGAAGGAAGCTTTAACATCTTGAAGATTGAAGGAAGCTTTAATATCTTGAAGATTGAAGGAAGCTTTAATAGATGCAAGCAATGAGTGTGTAGAATATGGTATATATGGTTCATGAATGTGATATACGAGGAGGAAATAACAGAGGATATGGAATTGTGCTCAGATTTGAATCCAATTGAGCATGATCGGGATACACTGTTGCCTTCAACTTCCAGTGAAGAAAACCTGGTAAAAATCTCCCAAAACCTTCATTCATCATGTAATCAATTCAGTTTTTCACAGATGGGAAGTTTAGTGTCTCACAAATTCAAGATGGCTGCACTCTGAAGTCTGATAAAATACATTAATGCATACCTCTATTTTTTTCTGAAAGATCTTTCCGCTACGGCAATTTCCTAAAAATTGCTGTGGCATATGCCATAAAGGTGCAGACAATCGATCATGGTACTCTTTTCTTATATGTGTAAAAAATGAATTTTTTTATAACATCAGATACGTTTCCTATAAATTTATCCTTATACTTTTATTTAATTCTCATTTCATAAATATATTTAATAGTGTGCGGCATATTTATCAGCAGCTATCTGTGTATTTAAATTGCCTGCTCTCATATCAGTTGAGCAGAGTTCATACTCAATATACAAAATTCTCTCCCTCCTTCCACCATGCTCTTCATGGTGTAACGGTAGCAAACTTGGTGCGTATTCGAGACATCCAGGTTCAAGTGTATATAATGTAAATAGTTTACTAAGAGTATGGTCCTACTTGTTTACAAATCTGTAAATTCTTGCATTTATTTATTGATTTGTTGTTTATCTATCCATCCATTGATTTTTCCTTAGTTGTAAGTATGGCTTCCTTCCCAGGGATTGTACTGCATAAGGCGTGCATTCCTTGGGGTGGGGACTTTATGAACTCCATTACGAACTTTTATGAATATGTAAATAATTTTAGTGAAGTTATGTTAAAACCGTAGTATCTTTTATATAATGTAACACTACAATCTGAAGAGTCAAAGCTGTGGAGGAAAAATAAACTAATAGGGAAAAGTCTAATCAACATCGAGGTAAACGGCCCTCTCACTTACTTGGTGCTGTCAAACCTGGCATTTTGGTCCGGTCCCTGTATAACTGTAATTGAACCCTATATGTAACTAACCATAACTGGCCCTCATATACATTCCAGTAATTATGGATAAGATGATATTTCTCGGCGGCCAGCACTAACTATTTAAGACATCAGCTCTCTTTTTCAATTCAAAGTCAGCTTTCGAGTATTGAGATATCTCGGTGTGAGCTTCACTCTTTAAATGTGCTTTGCATTGTGTTGTGTTTAACATTCTTAACAATTTGAAGTTTAACTACTGACTGTGCCCTGTGGTACTGAGAAGAGATGTACGAGTGCTTCTGTGGAAAGTTCCAGAACTGCAAAGTGTTTCTTTTTGTAAAGTAAATTTGGTCAAGCTATCATCGATTCTGCGTGCATTCAATCCATTAAGATCCCATAAGTACGCAACAATATTTAGAAAAATTTATACTCATAAAGAGAAAAAGTTTGACTCATGTATTGAAGAATGTATAAAAGCAGCATTAAATAGTAAAAGGCTACATTATTCCGAAAGCTGACTTTTAGACTGACTACCATTTCCTCAGCTGGTTTTTAGAATTTAAATTTGCTTATTATTATTGATTGAAGGATATAGGGTAAATTAATATATATAAATGCTTGAGTTACAATTGGGACTTCTGATGGATTTATTGATGATTACAGCTGTTCTTTTCATATTTTAGAACACCTGTTAATTTATAATGAGTTCATCTATGATAACTAGATAATATTATAATTAAAATTTTTTTGTTGGATGTTATCCCTTTTTAGTTAAAAAAATTATAACTTTTTTTTTCCAGTTGCCACCGTGCCCCCATTGCAAAGTACACTCACTACTGATAAAGAAGTATAAAAAGAGCATAATTATTAACAGAAGGCCATGGATGATTATAAAATAGGTGCTTGATTGGTCAAATCCAGATTTCTGAATTTAAACCTATGAAAATTTTAGAAAAAATTGCATTTAAAGCCCCCAATTTAAATTTCAAAAAGACATTTATGGCAAGTTTGATGTAACTGCATCAGTCTGGAATTTACCAATATGTTTGCAATAAAAATAAAAATTTCATCTACAGTTTGAAAAATCCATTTTTCAGAGACATGTATAAAATTCATAAGTTCTTTCCAAGTATAAAACAAAATTTGAAATCAACATAAGAAAATTAAATTGTCCACAATGATAGAAAGGTAAATTTAAAAAACATTTTTATTTCAATTTTTTTTTCATCTTACAAAAGCTAATTTTTGAGAACATTTATGGCTAGAATACACTGATACATAAGATGCATGTTAAAGCATCAACAAAAATGACAAAGCATTTTACTGGACACAAAACACAAGAAAATAAAAAGCATACAGATCTATATCACAATTCAGTTTAGATAAAAATATAATTCAGAATATAATTAATTCCCTAGAATATACTTTGGCATTTTTGATCCTATTATCAACATGTCACAAAACTCTAGAACAGTACAAAACAGTGTTGATTTTATGTACAAAAACAACCTACAGTTTATAAGTGCAGATATCCTTAACTTTTACATGGAATTAATGCAAATTGGATTTTATAAAGCTCTATTATTAAAGCAAATTTCAGATACCTAGACTTACAAATGTTGCATAAAATAGCTGCTGCATTTATAAGACAAAGCTTATGTTGGACCACCTCGACATCTACACTCAAAGATGTTTGTAAAATAATTATTTAATAATAGTTCTCATTTTTTTTTCAATGAATTATTACATTTCACAATTAGGTTTTCTTAACAGTCACATGCACCATTCACTAAATTTTAAAATACACATCTGCCACCTTTAGCTCACACAATTTCCAACACTGAACATTTAACTGCCAATTAAATTTGCATGTATGGTGATTTTGAATAATTTTGTACGAATGTGCATACTGCAAAAATTATTTTATTGCAACACTTCAAATATTCTTTACATACCAGACTGCAGCTGTTCACAATAGCATATTAAAATGCTATGTAACAAAAATAAGATGCATAAATAATTATAAATAAAAAATGTAACTTACGTATGATTTTACTAAAATTACTTAATCATTTCAAAAACAGATATTCTCAATGACTTGTATTAAAACAATTATTAATTATATATGCTGGTAGCAAGAATTTTGAAAACAATTCAGCTAATTTTCTGAATGAATTTATAAATAGTTAAGATGAATTGAGATAAAGAATACTGCCAAAAAATATTATCTACATTCTTTGCTTAAAAAAAAAAAAAAAAAAAACATTATTTTTATTAAATTTCTTACCATAATTTACACAATTTCATCCTAAACACTTTCCAATTATCATTATTGCCATTTTTTTTACAAAAAGGACTAATTAAATAATGACCAGTTACAATACATTAAGGTTAGTAATACTTATTTGATACACTTTTTATAAGAAAAATTATTAAAATGATTTTTTGCAACTAAATTTTTTAATTGCTATAATTTTCTTACAAATGCTTTTTCCCAGGTTATTATTTATCTCCAATATTATTATTGTCCAAATTTTTCAATACAGAAAAAATATAACAAGTATGGTAATAATTCCTTTTTTAGATAAAAACTTCACATATACCAATTCACAATTATAATATTTTGATTTTAGCATAATAAAAAAGAAATAGCCTAACACAATTTTCTCACAGCTCCTTGTAAAAACATAATGACATGTAAAATAAAGGATACCTGGGATTTTACGATGCCATGTTTTATAAGCAAACTAATTCATTCTCCAGATTTCAGCAATCAAGCACTTTGAATTTCTATGTACATTTCTTTTTTAACTTATTACTAAATTGCTATTTTTATATAAACATTCACTTCAAACAGATAAACTACGGCATCTTTATACAGCAAAGTTATTAAAAAGAAACATTCATACATACATGTAACATAAAATAATTTCCTAAATGTTTATTATAATACAGAATTTACCATACAGAGAGCATTCATACACAACAAAGTAAGATATGAAATTTACTAAATATAAATGTACATTGTGCATACAGTCAATTACACTATTACATAGTGCCTGAACCTCTACACTCCAATTTCTATGATTATGACTTTTCATAATAGCTTTACAGTGATACATAAGTTCATATCTGAGTAAACATAACATATAATTTGAGAAATGAGTATAATAAGGCTTAGTTCCCACACTTGATATATTTAATGCATTTGTCAGCTGTTGTATCAACTTCTAATACAAAGATAAGATCTTAAAACTACTCATGATAAACTACTGCACATATCTGCATTATGTGCAAAGCTGCTTTAATTTTTGATAAAACTTAATATACTGCCAAATGATGTTCACATACTTATAAATTTTCTATTTTAATTTTTGTTATGCTATTTATGGTTAATCAATTTCTGTATTCTACAAAAATACATATCAATTTAAATACACAGTTAACTTCTTTATATATATATATCTCAGGGTTTATTTGATTATGGCAAAATATATGAGAGCTATCTGCCTAAGGGAATGGATGCCTTCGTAAAGGACTTCCCAAAGAGAAATGGCTCGTATCCACGTTATGCAGGGGGGGGGGATGAAAATGCCTATGCAGCCAGCCTTTTGCCTGGAAACAAATCCAGAAGTAACTACCAGTATTCAAGAACTTTACTGCTTGGCCAGTGGTGGGTTATATCTCAAGGGTATAATATCACAACTTTTTAATGAACTTTAACTGAATGATTTCAATAGGTATGCATGTATGCTTTCTTGCATTCAATTAAATATAAATTAAACATTTTCTCCTTGAGACTATTTTGCCAACATTTATTAAAACTAAAAAATTATTCTCACATTATTTCTTGATCTTTAAACTACTACACAAATATATCCCACCAAAAACCTAATGGTGGATCCAGGTTCAAATCATGGTAAACTAGCTGGCTGTAAGTTAATTTTCATGATTTTTCCCATGTGTAATGCGAATATGAACTTTAAAAATTTTAAATGAATCGTTGACAACCCTCATGTGCTTTGCCCTATTCTAAGTATTCCAATCTTTATAAATTATTTTAAATTGCTAATAAAAGTATATCTGAATACTGGTATCTGATTAGTTTACATTTAGTAATACTAATAATAGTATGAATCTTTAGGCTGCTAATATAAAGCATACTACATAAGACATAATATAAATAATTTTTTAGGTAATTATTAAATATTCCTTCTTAAATTTTTTAAAATAATTCTATGGCCATTTAATGCTTTAAGAAAACCCTTCTTTATTTTTAATTAAGAATGCTGAAGATGTCTAATTTACAAAAATATACATTTTTCATGGTAAACAAAACAGTACTTCTGTCAACAGCAATTCACATGGGACTAAATAAATGATTATTACAGTCTTACAAATAGATCTTTCCCAAAAAATGATTTTTAAACTCATTAACATACACAAATGACATTTTAATCTATTTGGCATATCCTCGATTTAAGAAGAAAAAAGCTGATGAGAAGATTTAGTTTCTGAAAATTAATATTTATCCAAGCATTTTTTAATCTGCCTCCAAAAAAGTATATAATTTTTACCCCAAGTACTCAAACATTAGTCTGTTACCCCACTAGTAATAACATTACTTAGATTTTAAGAGAAAGATTTTGAAAATATCTTGTATATCACCTTTTATTTCTCCATATATCAAAAGCAATTTGTCCAAAATCTCCTAATTCACAACTCTGAAATCACACTAAACTTCCTTCAATAAGTATCTTAATCTTCTGCAAATGATAAAAAGAGCATTGCTTATTAACTATGTTATGGAATGAGCTGTTGGAATCTTAAATATTTTGATTCCTAACAAATACACAAGATACTGAGTGATGACTAAGCTAAAACTGATAACTCAATAACAGCAACAACATAAGCTTATACAAATTAATACTCAGAAATAATTTATAAATTTTCTAAATTTTAAGGTAATTATTAAATATTCCTTCTTCATTTTTTTTAATGTACAGCAATTATAAAACCATAATTTTTTATATCATTTACAAAATACTTACTGTTTTACAGAATTTTCCATAAATGATTCAATGAATATTTCAAATAAATTTTATTATAACTGAATATTCCAGCCAATTCATTACAGTACTGGGGAGGCCACCAGTACCTGAGTGGTGAAATTGCTGAACACTAATAGTTGGGTCCAAGATTAAAATCCCATGAACGAGCTGGCTGCATGGGCATTTTCGTGGCTTTCCCCGTGTGTAACATGTATACCAGCCAGTTTTCCTTAGAAAGTCCTCCATGAAGGCATCCCTTCCCCTAGGTTAATAGCCCTAGAGTGTTTTGCCACAATCAAATAAACCAAAAAACATTATAGTATTGGCTTCATTACAACAATTAGCACAAAGTAAACTAAAGATTTATATCATTTATAGTTTTGTCACTTTTACAATCTACATAATGATTAGCCAGGATCATTTATTCTAGTGCACCATCTGAATTCATTTCCCTCAACAGCAGCACTCATTTCAACTTAACTGATTCCTGATTTCCTACCACCCCAAAACTTTATGTATGTGTATTTGACTTCAATAAGTTTACAAATAAGTAATCCAAAAACATAAGCTATAGAACATAAAAAAAGGAAGTTGTTGAAAATATTGAAAAGGAAGTTGTTCAAAATGACAAAGCAAAACAGCAGAAAAAAGAATTTGTTGTAATGCTATTTTTATAGTAAATTAATGTTAGTTAGGTTAGGTTATTTAATTACGGCAAAGCCACGAGGGCTATCTGCCTAAGAGGAGGGATGCCTTCGTGGAGGACTTTCTAAGGGAAACTGGCTTGTATACACGTTACACATGAGGAAAACCACGAAAAAACTCATGCAGTCAGCCTGTTCGCGGGATTTGAACCTCGGACCGAACTACCAGTGTTCAGCGACTTTACTGCTCGGCCGCTGGTGGGCAGTAAATTAATGCTGTGAAAACTCCTGCACTTACTTATTAACAAAAATATTTAATTATTCAAGACAGAGCTGTGCACTTATTTCACATGATTGTTTGCATATGAGGCTTAATACTTTTTATTCTCTTAACACATGAACACTTGCTGGAAACAAAAAGCCTCTGCAAAATTTTTTCCTGTTTTAAAAATTATGGAGAAATTCACATAATTCCCTATCATTTTTGATTGAAGTAAAAATTGAAAACTTATTTTTTAAGATAATCTCAAATATACATAACAAATAATTTTGGATTATTTTTGCACAAAATACATTTTAAAATTTACACAAAAAGCGCTTTTTGTTTGTGTCATATGGGTTGTGACTTTTTAAACGTACTTTAAGTTCTGCATTAGCTATAAGGATTTTTAAATTCAATATACTATTTAATTGATATTATTTACTATAGTCTACACATGGAATACTTAAAAAAATCTTAATCATCATGCAAGTAATAAAAGAACATTAAATTCATTTTATTTTTAATATGATTACTCAGCATAATATTAGTTATGTAAAACTAACTCATACTGTAATTTATGAATGTCAGTATAATGAGTATCAATTATAATTATGACAAACAGGCTTACTTCCTGCTTTTTTAACAAATGACATGCTTAATGATTATTTCATCTTAAATGCTACAACTAAACTAAAAAATAATGGATTTAAACAAGACTGATATTTACACCTGAGTTTCCTTCCATCATAATATAATGTGACTGCGATAAAATAATAATAAAAAAAAATCTTTTTTTGGGGAGGGAGGAGTGGATTAAAAACATAAATGTTCTCCATATGAAAAATTTTTGATACAGTTAACTTTAAAATTGACAGTTAATGTGACTGTACAATATTCATATAAATAAATCACAGAAGTTGAATCAGCTGACAAATTCATTTTTCCCCCAAACTGAACACCAGAATAGAAACATATTTTCAAGCATGTAAAAACCTTATCATACGTTACATACTTTCCCATTAATTATTTGACTGGCTGCACATTAAAAAAAAAAACAAGCATAGTTCTTATACATTTATCACATTTAATAAAATTAAATAAACAATTACTTCAGTAATTTTTTCTTAAATACACACATGAAAAATACATAAAACATTAATATATGATACATTTTTACAGTAATAATTACAGTAGATATTATGTATATTGCTATCTGACCACCTAAACCAACCAAAACCAAAATCCCTACATAAAATAATATTATAAGTTCATTTTAAACACAATTTGGGTTCATTTACAGGAGTAAATTATTAATATAAAGTCCTTCCATTCTGGTATG